GAGACTCGTTCTGTTGTATGTGTTGTATGCGTGTGAATTTGGAATCTCCAGCAGGGCTGACGCCAGCCCAAAGTGCACGCGCGTGTGGCATGACGACTGGTGTCTCGAAAGCCTTCTCGAAGGGGTCCCAATCGCGTATACTGTAAGTTTATAACTTATGCATATGGCAGGTCGTATATGTTGGACGTCAGTACCGTCCGCCTACGGTGCGTACCTTCAAGTTATTGCGGCGGCCGCGGAGTCATTAATTAGCGCGGACGCGCGCCGGTGCCGTTCAATGAATGGCCGGCTTCGAAGGGATCCCGGCTAGCTGGGGAGCAGCGTGAGCAGCGCGGCTCTACAGCCCTCGATTTTCGGACATCACTCACAAGCACGCTGCAATTTCATAATACCGGTACTAGTACTACCTATGTTAGATATCTTTCTCCTCTCGACTCAGAGGCAGCATCATTTATAACGATCATGAATGGGAATTCTCATATCAAAGGCAGTTTTTGCTGGGTCCTCGGATCCTCAAGTCATTTTGGGTCCGGCTGTCCGGAAACGTACATTGCATAGTAGTCAGTGAAGCTAGGCCGACATGCCATTTAATGCACACACGAGCGCTCGCATCAGAAACATTCGCTAATTTCGCTAATTTCTCGTAGTAGGACGGCGCCCAAGGTCCGATTGACACGATATTGAATGGATGTCCAAGGTCGAGTCTATTGCATCATTGCGCCGGCCGCGAACAATAAGCGATATGCATGGATTGCAAATGCAAACGGGTGTGCTCATATGCGGATGTTGCAAGAAACCAAGTCCAAGAACATATGAGAGCGTGTTGAGAGAAGTGCCAAGGCAATCGTATATATCACTGCGGTTTCTTGTACAGATACGAAATTTCACGAAAATGTTTTCCAATTGCTTACAATTGACTGTCACGATCGAGCTACTTTTACAACACAAGTGTCTCAGCCCACTACAGTATCAATACTATCTTACAGCAACAGCTCCGACGCTCACAAGAACCTGGTAATAGCAGTATTTTTTGAAACCACCATCGACTTAATCCTAGTAACTATCGCGAGTCCACGAACGACTCGACCAGTGCAACTAAGTTATAAGTTTTTCGAGACCGGCTGAACTAAGCCCCGAGCTCGACTCCTCGGACCAGGCTTTCTTGGAAGGTATTAGTACCAAGTAAGGCTGTACACATTGTCAAGGATCGATTGGAATACAAACGCACCGCTACTATTTAGACGTATTATTATCCAACGGCACCAAAGCTAAACCTACTTCTAGAGAAGCTGAGCAAGCGTCTTATACTCCACGTCCGGGTAGAGGTCGACGGATGACACGTGGCCTTCAGGCAGAGGCTGGAGCATGTCACCGGCGATCCAGATGGAGTAGTGGAGGTAGGGCAGGAACTTGATGGACGGGTCAAAAGCTGCCAAAAGAAATTAAAAGCACAGTCTGACATTGTGTCCGCTTTGATCGCGATCTCCTGCTTCCTGACGCTCGCGCCACCCTAGAACAGGTTTTCCTTAGGCAGATGAGAGACGCCCCTTTATAAGCGACAAGAGCATACAAGGTTGCGGCAAGCAGTCACTTCGCAAAAGCGCGTTGCAGACAGCAAAAGGTGGCCGCTTCGGCGAAGCATTGCATGGCCTTTTCACGTTCGTGTGCTGCCTATACTCAGCCCGATTCTGCAACACGTCTCGAAGCACTCGTTGGCGAAGCAACGAAAGCCGCATGGCCCATTTTGACAAAAACGATGAAACGAGTTCAGTCCTACTAAGTATTGAGTATTTCATCGGAGTCGTTCTGAAAGCTGGTGAGAGTCACGTTGTTGGTTCCGCTGCTCACTTTTGTACTGCTGAAGAAGCTCCTCGGCCGACACCGTCTTGCGCTTGTACGTCTTTCCCCGGGCCTTCTCCGCGAGTGCAATCAGCTCGTTTTGGGTGAGAAAATTTTGCGGAGGCTCCAGGTGAACTGTCTTGTTGGCGGCCCGCGGGTCGAGCGCTGCTTTAATTGTGTACGTCCCGATGTCACCCTCGTCGACATTGACGCCTGCAAGCGGGTTAGCACGGGGTTAAGGGTTTTGCTAGGTCAAGTCGGGGTTGGACGGAGAAATTCCAAATTCTGATTAGTTAACGTCATGCTTGCAGGAAGGACAACGCAAAAGCTCTACCGATGTCTGATGATCAGAAATTCTTTTGCCGAAACTAAAAGCTTTCACCTCCTGACAGGACACGCCAAAGCTTGGAACGCTCAATGACAAGGGCGATTGTGTATGAAATACTAGAGCCTTATCCAGACGACGATACGGCCAAATGCAGAGGATAGGTCAAACTTTTTGTGGTTTGTATGGAAATCAGATTGACAGCAACATCCCAATGCACAAGTAAGAATTGGGGTTCAGATGCACCAGAATCTGGTTCCGCCGACCCTAATACGATCATCTTTAGCAGTGTCTGCAAACGCTCACTCTTAACGTCCCCAGAGCCAAACACCGTGACTTCGTCCGTCACCGGGGGCCCCAACGCGCCGAGACCCGGCAAAGAGTAGCCCGCAAAGCCGTTGGACCAGACGAGTGTGTAAGGGATCCCTGACTCGACCAGCACAGGAAGCAGATTCTTCTTGATTGCCCAGAGCGTAGCGAGCTCCCCAAATGCTTCGATTGTCTTCTCACTGCATATGCGGCAGGTAGGCAGGATCAATTGGGAGCACACAGCAAGGAAGGGAAAGACTTGCATAACTCTCGAGTTAGCAGCTGATGTCATCTGACTTGTTGACAAAGAATGGATGGCGTGAGTGTGAGGGGAACGGGTCAAAAGAGTCTTGACCTTAGAACTGTTAATTGCAAGCATGTGTATCTGAAGCGCTAGATAAGAATTTGAGGTAGAGAACACGCCCTGCTGGAGCCTCTTGTTTGAGGAGCCACTCTGCACCCAACCCGAATTCCGATCTTATCACCAAGTAAGTGTTTAGAACTTGAAGGCCTTCCTAACCACACTCCTGTGAGCAATTACTAAGTTAACTTTAAGGAGGATCTTGAGCACCTAGTGGTGCGAGCTCTCACCTGGGGTTAAGCCCAAACTCGGACGGTAGGAACCGCGTGATGGTCCCGGCCTCCTTGGCGGCATCAATAATCTTGGTCTGGTCCGCCAGCTGAGCAAAGCTGACGGTGGAGATGACTATGGACACCTGCTTCAGAGCAGCAACTAGACTGGCGTGGTCGTACAAGTCTCCCTGCGGAGAAACCAGGACACACAATTTAGTGCTAGTAGTGAGTCTTATTGCAACTTTGAAGTTCTACATTCCCTCTGCTTTATTCCTCAGAAAGTGCCATTTGGCAAAGGGCCAACCTTAAATTAGACTGGGAAACCTTCAGATAAATCTGGTGCATTAGAAGTATGACTGCATCTTGAGGTTAGAGGTAAGTGATAGCATTGCTTAGCTACAAAGGAAAGCTACTTCCGGAAAACCATGGCTTCTCCAGAGCAATCCTTGCCAGAGGAGATTGCTGCAGAGATATAGAGCTCACATGATTGAAGCGAGAGTTCTTTGCTCACCTCCAGAAACTGGACGCCGGCGCTGCGCAGCTGCTCCAGCACCTCCTTCCTCTCGGGCTTGCCAGCTGTCGCCTTGCTGATGAGGGCATATGCCCCAACCTCAGGCGCCGCTGCGGCTGCCAGAGCAATGTGCCGCCCAATGTAGCCAGTGGCACCGATGACGAGGACGTTAACGGGAGACATCTTGAGGTCCGAGCTGATCGGTGAGTAGGGGAAGCGTTTGATTGAGCTAATAGTAAAAGCTGGTGAGAACTGGAAGCTTGAATAAGGAATGTGTCGTACCTTTGAAAGACGAGGCACTTTTGGAATGCTGTGAGCCAACTGAAGTTTGGCTTAAAGTAGGGCAACTTAATCTGTAGGACGAGCCTTGGTGCTGAAGCCTTCTTGCACTGGTCGACAGCCATTTTGGGCAGGTTCAATGGCTGAAGCTTGGAGCTGGAACAGGCCGCCGCTGCACATGGCATTTGCCCCTGCATTGCTTCAACGTCCCTTCAAGTTTTAACTTCCACACCTTTCTGAGTTTCTCGTACTTCGAACTTGGAACTTGAAGAATCCAGTGCAGGGCTGACGCCAGCTCAGACTCCGAAGAGCGCGCCGATGACGACTGCTTGAAACCGAAGGCGTTCTCGAATTCTGTACTCCGGGTTTAATTTCTAGGTTCCGTGCCGGTTCTCAAGTTCCCGGGAAGCTCTCGAAACTTCGCGGCGGAGCCAACCCACGATAAATGCCGGTTCTGGAAATGCCGCCCGATCGGCCGGTGAGCCGCAGTGAAGTTACAAGATAACCTTCGTGCAGGGTTCAACCTCAAACTCCCAACTTATGTCATGTCGCGAAACCCTAGGTTTTGCGCGCGCACAAACACACCAAAAGGCTATCCTGTAGCCTAGAATAGAGGAAGGACTCCAGAGTCCACCTTAGCCTTCACTCAGTCCTGGCGCCTGCAATCTGCAAAGATGGAGGCGCTAAGCCGCCAAGGGCTCTTGGTCCGGCCCTCTGGGGTATGCTCCATCCGTAGGCAAGCCCCAAAGTTGTTGGAAAAGATGCCAGCATCAAGCTTCATGGGTGTGCGCCTGCTTCCTGCTCAAACGGCGAATGTTGCAGAACGGAGATTGGTCGGAACCGGAAAGCCTTTCAGAGCACAGCACCGAGCATTGCGATCAGTCACGTGTAGTGCTGATGGAGCACTGAAGAGCTTTGCTATGAGGCTGGTGAATTTGCCCGTTTCGAGCAGCTTCATGGTAAGTGGTCGCGAGTTGGTGCAAGAAAAGAGAGCAAGGGGTAACAGGATTGTGTGCCAGTCTCTGAAGATGGAGGACAAGTATAAGAACCTGAAGGCAAAGCGGCTGTTGAAGGAGATGGAGCAGCTTCGGGACCGGGGGTACGATCGCAATGGGCGGAGCACCCCCTGGGGGAAGCCGAAAAAGGCAAAAGGCGCAGGGAACGAGGGGAAGAAGAAGAGCGAGATGGACGGGGACCACAACGGGATAGCGCCGTGGGAGAAGAGGATGCGCATCAATTACGGCGACAATGTGGAGGAGCAGGGCTACGGGCTGGATTACTGGGAAGATGACAAACGGAACGTCGCCGCCATGCGCGGCCAGCATCGGGAGGACGTAACTAGGGGCGGGGGCACGTACGGCGGGCAGTTTGCGAGGGACCTCCGGGCATCGAAGCGGACCATCATCGACACTGCTGATCTGGCGCAACTAGTGGCGGCGAGACCGGGGACGAAGACGGCGCTGGCGGCCGGGGTGGCAGGCTATAGTGAGCAGTTTGTGCCGGAGATGCTGGAGAAAGGGTCGGCGCTTTTTGAGGACCCCCTAGAGGTGCAGCAGAGGATGGTGTGGTATCTTGAGAGCATCGGGGTGGACGTGGACGCAATTGACCTCAGCACAGTGCCGGGTGAGGGGTGACGTCAACCTGAGGGTTTGAAAGTGGCTTTTTCATCCTTCGCTGACGTTGTTTCAAAGTTGTTTCACCATTACCAGCTTTGGCATCGTGCCGCCATCAAAAGTTGTTGCGATCGTAAAGCAGCATACAGTTGCTGCGCAGGTTTCGCTCTGAGTTGTTGGTGGTTTCTTGGCAAGAATGGCTGCTTCAAGATAGACATCGCAATTGCATCGTGAGGTGAAATGTACTCAATCCTGCATTTGCAAATTACAATGGATCCGGCCGGTAAAACAGCCGGGCCAGGCTGAGAGCCTCACTTCCTTATGGAGTCAGTGAACCAGAGAGTCTCCTGGCCGCATGCTAACTTGTGACATGCTTTCCAACGAGCTGCTTTCCTGTTGGCCTCGCACACATCAAGAATGTCTCAATGTTTAAACGCCAATCTTCAGGCACGGGCGAGGAGCAAGAAGAGAAGGTGGACTACCTAGTGAGCCTGGGCCTCGCGCAGGAGACCGTCGCTGACATCATCGGGCGGTGGCCGCAGCTGCTCCGGCTGAGCCTGCGCAAAAATATCATTCCGGTCATCAAGTATCTCGAGTGCGCCTGGATTGCTTTCCGGCCGGAACAGATTGTCGAGCTCCTGGGCAAGTATCCGCAAGTGAGTAGAAAGCTCTGGAAGCAAGCTGTGCCCACTGTCTTTGTCAAAAATCTTAAACATCTTTGAAAGATTTCATTCGTAGTTCTTCAAAGGTGGCTGGATTCCCAAATAGAGTGAAGAGAATAAGCACTTGGGAGACCGTGTTAGCTGGAAGAAGATGGGTACCCGACAACATTTTCATGTCGACCTTGGCCTGAGTCCTTGAAACCAGAAAACGGGCTCTGGTTCCGGTTCCCTGTCTTATTCATCAGCATCGTTCATGTGGTCAGCTTGACGGGTTCGGAACTCAGACGCTTCCGCCATTGGGCTTATCCAGCCTCAAACAAGCGGTTGCCCAAGAAGCTCTCGGATCTGTTCATGCTAACCCTCCTGCTAATCCTTCTCTGTTTGCAGATCCTCTACCACAGTTTTGAACTCACGCTCCAGCCGCGCGTGCTCTTCCTGCGCGGTGTCGGCCTCACCCGCTCGCAGTCCCAGGACGTTTTCCTGCGCGTCCCGTCCTTCTTTGACACGCGCATCGAGCGCTCCCCGAGCACGTCGATGGCCTATTTGGGCGCGATAGGGGTCGAAATGGCGGACATGTGGAAGGTTGCGTACGGGTGCCCGGAGATCCTTGTGCAGAAAGTTAACGAGGTGAGATACAAGCATGGGCGTTGAAAGTTTAGGGCGAGGGAGACGATGGACGTCTCCGCTTCAGTGTTTGATGAAGAACTGATTGAAGTCTGAGTTTATCAGGTTTTGGGTAGGCGCCTTCCGAGAAATAAAAGGAACGGATACACGACAGGGAGGGGACCTTTATCCGAGACGTACGTCCTGGAGTTTGGAAAGGTTGTCTCTGGCGTTCTTTACGATTGGGACTCGTGCTGAGAGGCTTGCACGTTATGGACCAGAATTGTTCTTGGTCTCTGCAAAGGCATCTGGTGGCACAATGAAGCAGCAGCCTCTTTTTCGATACTTGTTTGCCGTTCCACAAAACCAGTCGAGCATTTCCGAAGGGCAACAGAGTGGAGTGCCGGCTTTCGTCGAACACAGGACTCCAGCTTTTACCTGAATCCAAGCTGGTTGGTGCTGTCGTAAGCAAGGGCCAATATATGCGACAAGCTGTTCTTTGTTTCTACACCGACTCAGACTTGTGTGAAGTTCTTCGCTAATGATTGTTTGCCATCTGCAGTTCCTGAAGCCGCGCTTCGAAGGCATCGCGAGTCATCTGGCACTTCCAGAAGAGGAGGCGCGGCGGGCGCTGTTGCAAACCCCGGAACTGCTGCTGATCGAAGACTTGGGCGGTTTGAGGGACGAGTTAAGAACGGAGCTTGCGCGGCGGGGTTTGGTTCCGGAAGTTGGGATTATTGAGAGCACGTCGGAAGAAGCAGGGGGTGAGGAGGAGGCGCTTGTTGCGCAGAGTTTGCCCGGGGAGGAGGACGAGAGCGCTGAAGTGAGTGAGAGTGTGTCGTCAAGCGAACGGAGCGACGATGACATACGGGAAGACACTGGGGTTATCGCAGGCGGTTTAATAGAAGGTGGGTTGACGGAATCCACTTCGGTGGTAGAAGCGGGTTTGGAGGGAGAGGACCGGGTAGAAGAGGGGGACGAAGCTGGCTGTAGCGGACAGAAGGGCGTGCAGGTTGACGTTAACCGAATAGTCGCGCTCTTTGGGCACAGGTTGCACGACGCAGGAGTTAAGCAAACCCTGGACAAAACCCTGGGTTTGCTTGGAAATGAGTTGGAGATGGGCCCTGACGAACTCCGGACGGTCCTGGCGGAATACCCGGCGCTATTAGAACTAGAGCCGGGAGAGATCGCGGAAAAGATCCAGGCGCTGAGGAGAGAGGGTTTGTCAACGGACGAGATACGGGGAATGGTCGTGGCGGATCCGGATTGGCTGGGGGTCGACCTGGAGGCCGCGTTCACACCAAAGCTTGAGTTCCTGAAAGTGGACATGGAGAGGAGTGTGAATGAGCTCTTGGAGTTCCCGAACTTCCTTTGTTATAGGTGAGTGCTCCAGGATCCCGTCCGCCGTATCTCTGTTCATACCCTTCTCCTTGGTACTCCTGCAGAGACAAAGTCGGAACGCTACAAAGGTTTGAATACAACTGGAGGCACTTTTGGCTAGGGTGTCAAGGCGCATCTGGGTAGGATTATTGCTGCAAATGTCGCTTTTACATTGTCGCCCACATAGATTCGACGTACTTGAAAAGATGCACATCCTCTTGAACAAGCTTGTGTGCAGTCGTCAGATCGCTCCTCTTTCGACTGTTGAGAAAGGACCTTGCTTTCGAGTCTGACGACACTCTTTCCCGTGTGCAGTCTGCCAAACAGGATTGCGGTTCGCCACCAAATTACGCACGAACACGACAAGAAACTTTCTTTGCGGCGGCTATTAGGCAGCAGTCCCGCTCAGTTCGACACAGCGGTGGAGAAAAGCGAGTGGGACTTCGAGGTTGACGAACTAGACATGGCGGAAGAAGCTTGGACGATAGACCGGGCTTACGCAAGGCAGCGGTGGGAACCAGCGAAGATTGGTGCGGGTCCTGTTGGTGGCCTGGTATAAAGCTGACACGTGGCTACGTTTACTGACGCACCAGAAAGTGCACAGTTTCAAGCTTCGACTGCGATCGATCGTCAAGCTTCATTCCAAAGGATTGATGCCGAGCTAGAGCCTTGTCTATGCACGAGTTGTTGTCAAACAATCAGGGATGCCGGCAAGCTGGAGACGTGATAGTCAACTGCAAATGGTCCCATGTGGTTCGTTCGACAACTAAACATATTGGAATGCACGATGCGAAATTCATCAGATCAATCAAATAAGCTTTCAGTCTCCGTTCTGTCCTTCGATTCTCAAGCACATAAGGCTCGATGTATGCATCATCGTCCGTTCGTATAGAAACTTGCTGGCCGCCTGTTCTGTAACTGCATGGTACGTCGATGGTCTCTTTTCACACGCCATAACCAGTGTGGCCATAGTAGGATTCGCATGGCATACAATTTTCGTGATTGGATTGCTAGCACGTGGCCCAGGGTTTATGAGAACATGTGACCATTGCCAGCGTATTTCGAAACGTGTGCCTGCCTGGCGGCGGGTCCTAATTTGCAAATCAATTTTGATGGCCGCGGCCGCTGCATGAACTATGACCGCGCAAGTTTGCGGGTTTGCGCGTGGAACAAGCAGGAGTACGTCGCTGAGATATCGAGCGGACCATGTGAGAACAATTCGTATGAAGCCTGGATTTATGCATGCCCGTATATCGCGGCAGTACTGTGATTGGTGATTATCAGCACTGCGCAGGTCAGGCCAGCTCCAGATTGTTGATTCAGATACGTTTGGGACTGCTCAGAATGGCCTCAACGTAACTGAAATCAACAAGACAATGTTTTTGATAACATCGTATCTCTTTCTAGCTGACAAAGCAGCCAGCATCGTTCAAGAACTAATCAGCACGCCAACAATGCAGGGTCGTACAGAACCGAGGACAGAACACTGGATGAGCGCTGAGATCCAAGCCAACTTGATCATAACATTCAATTCGTAAAACGTCGAGTCCCCTTTTGAAGCTTCTGTCGTCATGGTTTCACTTCCGCAAAAAGTACACGAGTATCAGAGTGCGAAGGGATTGTCCAGCGCCAACTCAATCCTTGCTTCGAGCTCCCCTTCCTTTACCCACGTTTGGCTAGATGCTACAATGAGCGCTCTTTCTCCATCCCGCTGCGCTTGGAGTGCTGCTTTGACTTGCAGCAAGCGCTGTTGCCCTTCTTGGCGACGGAGCTCCTGCATTTGCAATCCACAGCGGTGAGGATGGACAGTATTTGAACATAGTTTGTTTCGCAGATGAGGAAACTTGCCCGAGCGAATCCACAGGGGTGAGAATGGAGAGTTTTTGAACATGCTTGCAGATATTGGAATCTGCCCTAGTGTCGGTGAATTCAAAGGACTCTCGAGCATTGGGGACTTTATGGCCCAGGTTGACAAAACTGCAGCGTTGTCTTCTTTGCTCAACACTTGGGGATCAATATTTGTACCTCATTCTGAGTTCGCCAGATCAAAGGCGAAAGATCTGGCTGTAGTACTTATCTGCCGCCTCTATCACTCTGCAGTCTTTCAATGCGATCATGCCAAGACGAATGTGAATGTGTCCATGGTTGTCTCAAAGTGGGGAGCGTTCTCTGAAGTCCGGCGAAACTCAGTGCTTTGTTTGAGTCAAGGATAAGCGTTGCTTTTCCTGAGTTTTTTGGCATGAGTACTAAAACAATCCAAGCTTCGGAACAACCCATGCTTGTTGTGCCAATTGAGAACCAAACCTTCTGCTGTCAACCTCTTGCGATGATGAAGAAGCAACTTGCTTCCCAAACAGTGTGAGAGTGGATGTATTGCAAACCATCATACACATGCACCATCCTGTCTAAGTGGTGCAAAGAACTATGGCCAGATTGTTGCTCGAACAGAAAGTTTCAAAATACCGCCACCACTTTTCTGTAATCACCGCTGCCGACCCCATCTTTGCCAGAAGCAACTCCTAAATTTCAGGGTTTTCTCAGCAGATCGACCCAAGAAGTTGAGCATGTATAGCTTACCTTCCGCTGCCGCTGTTCCTCAAGCAGCCTTTCCTTCTCCTGGGCATCCTCCCTCAACGCCGCCAGCTTCGCCTCCTTCACATCCTGCCTTCTCGCAGCATAGATCTCCCGCTTCTTCTGCTCGAATGCCGCCTCTCGCCTCCGCTTTTCCGCCAGCTCCTCAATGTACTTCTTCCGCACCTCCCGCACACGCTTATCGTACGCCTGGCGACTTTCGACGGGGGCCTTTGCCTCAGCCGTTGACTGTGTTGCGAAACCCCTGAGGCCAGTTCCAGGTTTCAAAGAATCTGAAATTCTTGAAGCAAAGGAATTGGTAATGGACGGCTTTGGACTGTCAGAGTCTGCATGATATAGACTTGCCGGTCTTTCAACATTGGTTTGAGAAGGTGACTCGCCACTCCTTGGTGCGGTGGAAAACGGGGCCAGCTGAATATCAAGCTGCCGAGCGGCTGCAGATGCACGGGCGGCAGATTGCTGAACGAGGTCCAGCGTTCGTAGGAGCTGGCGGGAAAACGAAACACCCTTGGCAACCTGCCCTGCACCCATCGCTCCTCTGCAAACACGGTCCAGAATGATCCAAGGCTCCTAAGCGTCCTTGAGCGCCCTGACACCCGGCGCCCTGCTGAATCAAAGTGATCAGAAAGTGGTCCTTCAAGGCTTTGAAGTTCGAGTTTAGGACCTGGATGAATCCCTCCCTCATGGTTGAAACTCGACGCGCGCCTGTACGCGTAACGCCGTAACCTGTTCACTGTAAACCCGGCCAAGGCCCCATATTGGCTTGCCTCTTTTTTACGAAGTAAAATAGCAAGCTTTAGGACCTAACCATGTAACGTTTGGCCTCGATTTCTCCGAACAGGCCTGCTCTAAAGCTGCCACGTTGCAAATTGGGGTCTGGAAGGCTGCCAAGTTACGGTTGGTACCTCTGCAGAAGGCCCGACACTGTGGCATGTCCCGGTCACTGAGCGCAACAAATTAAAATCAATACACCTTATCTGCAATCGACTCCCTTAGAATTGCCACCAAAAATTTGCACGAACGGATCCAAATGCCCGGAGGAGAGGCAGTCCGTTAACATGGTGCGTACTCCACCGTGACGAAACGGTGCAAGCAACACTAGGGTGTACGGACTAATATGTGATTGGTGCGCGCTCGCGCGCCAGCTTCCGTTTGCAAAGCCAACTAGTGGAAAACTGGGAAAAAGGAAAACGCCAAAAAATGCACTCAAAAATGTAGGCAGCAAAATGCTGCAATTGCTCGGTTTACAATAAGGCGAAATATTCAAGAATATTTGGAGTAAAGTTCGCAAGCCTAGCCCCAGCTCATGGTCGAAGTTTCTGACTTTCAGTAGAGATATGAGCGGAAAAAGTCGATATTGAGTGCATAACATTTTAGGTCTCAAATTATTAGTATTAATGTACCGGGGCCGAGCACATAGGGCCCGCTTGACTCGACCTTGTTGAAGTGGCAACTTGCCGGCGGCCGTCCTGCCGGCCGCGATGCACAGGGCCGCAACCTCGGGCGGGCAGGCCCCGGGCACGTGCAGAGGTTCAGGGTTTATGCCCAAAAAAAACGTTTTTCGGGGCATCGAACCTCAAAACCCGTCGAAAACGGGAGTCTGCCATTTCAGGTCCTGATTCGCTAAAACTACCTTTCGACGGGCCGAAGCAGGCTTAATAGAGTGAACCAGTCTGCATCGCCACTTCCCCCTTTTTCGAAGCCCCGGGGTCGATTGCGACAGCTCGTAATACTGACTTTGTCAGTAAACCGAGCTAAAAATTTCGCCAAGTCTCTCCACAAAGAGGCAAGCCCCGCCGCCCAGGCTAATTCTGGGCGGTCTATCATGTTGCTTCAAGCAAACCTTCAAGTGCACGGGCCGACCGCGGCGCGCACACCCGGCGGCCGCGGCCGCGGGCGCGGCAGGTCGCGTCCGGTCAGAGCCAGCCGCAGATCCGCGCTGCCGGCGCAGTCAATGGTCATAGCCTGACATCTATATTGCCTTTCTTCATGCACGAATGAACGAATTTCAGCGCCCTCGTCAAACGATGATCCTCATGTTCTACGGTTCAACCGTCAACGGTTGCGGCCAGGGGCGACAGCGGCTCGAGCTTAGAAGAATTCCCGGGAAAGACTCATGCGTACAAATGCAATTCTCTTCAGAGGCTCAGACGGTTCAATGAAATACGGAGGATGGTCTACGTACACATTGCAAATCCGCGCGGCGTCCATCAGGGACTATAGACCCATAGTCTGGAAGGGCTAGTACGTCGCGCCAGGTTTTGTATATACCCATGGGTCATGACATATAGATTTGGGCAATAAAGAACATATAGAGCAATACTAGCAATGGCCGTGACGCAACCCAAGAATTTTCGAACATCAAGCGGCACATCAGATCGAGGTGCCCTAATACCATGAGAAGGGGAAGTCAAGTGACCGTAATGGATGCCTCCATAATCTGGCATAGGCTACTCGCGAGCATCAAGAGATTCCGATGTTTCCAACTATTGTAAGCTGGCTAAAACGAGGCATGCACCAGTGGTTGTAGAATTAAGCAAAACTGTTGAACCGCGACTGTGCCTCTTTGGTCAAGCCGTGAATTGGGCTCAGACGTCAAGCAAGAAGAAGAGCCTGCAACCAATGGCGCCATTCACCGACGACCATCAATCCATATTGCAGGAAGAAAATGATTGCCTGTTGTATAAATAGAGTATGTATGTTGTCAACCTCATTGGCCCTCGAGTTTGTTCGCGAGAACTGTCCGTGCGTTTGGTTCGTTGTTTATCACAACCTATATGTCGGCACTTGAAGCCTTTGCAACTCGCGCTCAATGTGTGAGCAGCACATTCGATCAATTTGACAGTGATCGACTGCGGATCTTACTCCAGCCTATCCCTCGCGCCTTATAATGGCTTGCAAAATCTTGGCAAGCACTGCAGCAATTAAGCCGGCACCACTAGTCGTGCAGCTGTATTGAGCCGTTCCTTCAAAAAGCCAGGCACAAGACAGATGCGTTACATGCTGCCGCCCACCCAGCCCCCTTTTACTTCCTGCCCCGACCGCACCTCGTCCAGGCGACCGTTCGCTTGGTAACTCCTCTCCATAAACGCCCTCGTCCCGTCCTCGTCCAGCCACCCGACCCCGAACGTCAAGCCCCCCTCGGGCTTCACCGATATTGTTGACGTCACCCCCCCAGGCAAAAGAATCACGTCTTCATCCTCGTCCCTACCCTTGATTTTCAGCCCCTTGGCCTTGCCCTGCGTTTCGTCAAACCGTTCCCGCAACACTTCCCTTGTAGAATAGCATACCGTTACTGTGTCGCCCCGAGGGCCGCCTACCGTTACCGCTGACGGGCCGGCGGCGTCCTCGGCCTCTGACCCGTGCAACACAGTGGCAATGCGCTCGAACACCTTCCATTGCCCCTCGAGTTCGGAGCTTGAGGTTGACTCGCGGAGAGAGTAGGGGACAACGGGAGACTCTTTGCTTGCACTGCAAATGGAGAGAGAGAGGCAAACGAATGAGGCTCGAAGAGTTGAAAGGGAAAGAAAGGCAATACGTTCGCGCGATTTTAACAAGTCGGTCAGTGGATAATTTACGAATCTGAGCGTCACGCTTACTCCCCAAAACCCGGTTGGAGCAAGTCGGATACCCTCACTTACGAATTGCATTGGAGGCAGAAGACCAAACAGCGTCGACTCTCAGAGCCAATGTACTCTTAAAAACCCGTGAGTCTTCAGAACGAAGATTGAGGTGCGCTGAGGCGTCCTCTGATCCACTTGATGGCAAAATGTTGGACAATACGGACGGGACTCTGAGAAACTGCGGGACCCTAGCCAAAGTCCTTAGCTTTCTAAGTGGACTTCGTCGGAGTCCCTTGAGTCTGAGGAGCGCTAGCACCCAGCAAAAATGAGACACACCCTGGAAACAGTTCCGAGACAGAGTCGCGGGTCCAAACTCCAAGGCATGTAGTTACGTGTGTCTGCGAAAGCTGATGGGCTCTTCGGCCATTGATTTATGGACCCATCGCGCACAAACGTTCAAACCGTGCGCATCGAACGACGATGATCCTGCCCTCCGTACTGGTGTACAAGTTGCTTCAGGTGCGCGCTTTCTGGTCGGGAAAGCGTACCTGATATCTTCCATCTCGAGCGGGCCCATCCACTCCTCCTCCGTCACCGCTAGGCGCATCAGGTTCAGTCCGCCCCCCTCGACGCCTACGGTATGTACCAGGCGCAGCCGCCGATGACCTCCCCGCACAACGCACTGCAGAAGAGATTGAAGCGGGGGCTTATATCTAAGTGACCGTGTTGATCCGTGTTTCGCTCGCTTAAATTGGGGTAGTAAGATTATTGCGAGTTTACTAATAGGTTAAGAGTGCCACGGTATGCACTATGTAGCCGCCGATGGCCTCCCCGCATAAGGCACTGTGGATGACGACAACCTCGGGGGGGGTTGAGATTGACCGCATTAATCGGAGACGAAACTTCAAGAGTGTCTCGACCTCAACACGGGAGTCAACAGAAGCGAGGTAGCCAAGGAGCGAGGGTTTCTAACTTATCCGCAGAAGTGGCGGGTAAAACGCCTTACCTGCTCAATGACCGACGCCGGGTTGAAGTTGTACTTCCGTCGCTGGGGGTCGTCATCCGCCACGGAATCTGGATCCACGTCATCTACTTGCACGTTGTTCAGCAGGTCCAGCGGCCCCCGCGAGTATGAGCCGTCCTGCAGGCGCAAAGCGAAATATAAGCACTTACTTCCGCCTAACGGCCTTTTCCTTCCACGGCACCGGTGTTGCAGGGTGCTTATATGACAATCAATTGGTTCCCGTAGATGTGAATTGTCCTCCAAGAGTAATGCAACAAGCGCCCTCGACTTCAAGTACCAGATACAGCTTTCTGATGGCAAGAAGTGTTGTGTTACGTTCTGACGAACTTTGCCAGAAAACATCGAAGCACCTGTGCATGCCATCCGCCCTGCAGGCAAAAATGGGAAGGCTGCTTCTCCCTGGTGATTGCGATCCGCACTGCTCTCGCCTCTCTACCTCATAAGACTGTGCCCCGTCCAGCTGTCTGAACGATTTTCGCTGCTGAAAGGACCAAAACTTCGAGTTTGTTGAAACTGTCAAGTCCGGCCTCCCGAAGTCGAGTGTTGCATAGACAAACGTTTCCTTTCTTTTTCGTTTCTACTGACAAAAGCCGTTTCGGTACCGGGCTTTCTTCTTAGAAAGATTCGCCAATGTTCTGCCGGTGCGACCCCAACCCATTCTGGTGATCACTCTGACAAACGTCCAAACAGCGTGCGCTTTTTGAACGATTCGTGTCAATCTTCGGCTGTCGCCATACCTCCGTCGTTTGCAGCTGCCAATTAGAAGCCGGCTGAAGTGTCGGACTCGGCTTTTCCAACCAAGCATGAACGGAAATGTCAGCGATTCCTAAGGAGTGTTCGAAACAGTAACGTGCAAAAACAACATAAGACACACGCGGTGCGGGCTCACTGCCACCCTCACCTCGAAGAAGATCAGCCCCGGCTCGCGCCCCATGACGTCATCCTCCACCTGCGACTCCTCCATGTCGTCATCATCGTCCTCCTCAAACTCGTCCCCCTCCTCGAAGTCGCCCTCCTCAAATTCCTCCCAGTCTAGTTCGTCCCCCTCCTCCAGATCGCCCCCCTCTTTCGTTTCGCCCCCCTCCTTTCGCACCTCACCGCTCGCCCCCTCCGAGGCCGCCAGCGCCCGCTCCAGCTTCGCTCGCTCCCCCGCCAGCCCGCTGACGTCATCCTCCACGTCAACATCCACGTCATCGACGACGTCGTCCTGGTACTGCCCCTCGTTCTTTTCCGCCGCATTGCCGACCGTCCAGAACACCTGCCGCCGCACGCCGTTTGCAGTCTCCCCCCCTGTTTTGGCTGGGACGCTGACCCCCCCCTCGACGAAGCAGTGCGAGAGCGCGTCGAAGAGGTAGCTGTTTTCCTCGTCTAGAGCGAGGGGCTCCATTTTGCCGGTGATTGGAGAGAACGCGCCGGCCATGCCCTCCCAAACGCCGGACAGGCTGCTCACAAACGTGTCCCACTGGGGGGTGCCTGCCGGTTCCTGCAGAAGGGTACAACTGAAAGCTGTGCCCTTTCAACCATGCACTGTAGCACTAAGTTGGACACGTTTTACTTTTCCTTGAGAATGGAAAGTGCCTCTGGTAAATAGACTTGTTCACTCTTCCTGTGAGTCCTGAGCAAACATTCCCAAACGAACCCGCAACACCATGTCTAACATAAGCACCAGAGCGAGAAGTAGTGAACTTTTTCCAACTGACTGATGCGTAGCAGACCAGCCGCCTCCTGAAGGCAACAGTCAAGTTGTCCCAGAGATGTTAGAGCTTCTGCAATGACTTCTAGTCTCTGGAAACAATCTGAACAGTGTGCTCAGTTCAACGTACTGTACATAAAAGCTAAGACCTGGTACACACAATGTCGTCGGACTCTACGCCTACTTCACTGAAAGGACGTTGGTGGCAAAACGGCTTTCCTTGAGACTTCTGAACACTGTGTACACAATTAGACTTTGTAAATGAGCCATCATCGATACTGCTTTTTAACAAGTACTCCAAAAGGATGTCTGAACAAAAGCCCCATAGTGTGATGCTTATGACCGTCAGCCTGATGTGCCTCGTAATCTGAGCAAAAAACAATGTCACGGCCAACTATTGGAGAAATTGCTATTTGGTTTCTCAAGTCCTTACTTTATGAAACCAGCGATTCTAGAGATTGGCAAGAATTTGCTCATTTCTTTCGAAAGGAGAAGCTCTCGGGGGGAGAATCTCAATCACCACAGAAACATAAGCCACTCCAAATTGGTGGCAGATAACAGCCTTTCTCATTGGTGCTTCTTGCGCTAAAACATCGGACCTTTTAACCAGTACACCACCCTTCCATTGCTTGAAAATAGCAAATAGCAAAGCCACCAGCTTGAAGAATACAGTCGCATGCAGAAGTTCAAAGATGCGCCAATGTGGAGCATAGAACACTAAACATGATCGGACTTAGTCCCTCAAAGTCGGCGTACTATGCTCCTTACCTCTTCCTGAATCACGCTCTCGGACTTGATCCTGAGGCCCCCCTCCTTTGGCGCCACCGTCTTGGCCTCCCCTTCCGTCCTCCCCTTGCCCCTGCCCTTACCACCCCTCCCATCGCCACTTCTCTCACCCCCCCTTCCTGAACCCCCACTTCTCCTCCCCCCTGCCTGACCGGACCTTTCCGAGGAGGAACCTCTCCCCCCGCCCCTCCCCCCTTGACTTCCACCAGGCCGCCCCCCGCCGGAGTCTTTCCTAGGCCCCTGTGAGCCACCCCCTCGCCTCTCAGCGCATACTTTGAAATCATGACTCGAGATTTTATTATGAGTTTTATGTGATTGCTGAATGCAGGAAATGCTGCCAAGGAAAGAGCAGGGAAAGCACAGACCTGCAGAATACTTATTGGCTACTGGCTGTCGTGGCCGCCTCCCAGCTGACTGGCTTTCAATTACATAATTGGGAGTGGCGCTGAGGCAGCCATGCGGCCCAGCTCTGCTGACTGAGAGGACACCCATTGGGATCTGCTGAAGCGCTGAAAACTTTTGCAATTGAATACGTTCTTGTCAGCAAAAGGAGCTGATCAAGGGACGCCAGTGGGTTGCATGTCCACACCTACCGGTATGTACAATGGCAATGCTGCCAATTGCCATTGGCGCCGGCCAGAGTGCACGTCCATATGTAGCCCTATTACCAGTAGTATATGGCGACGACAGGGCGATCCACTTTAGCGACACAGGTGGACCGTGGAGGGGTTGTCATTCAGAAACGGCCAGAAATTGGCCGTTTCATTAACGGTAGTCGCAACTTAGCACGGTATATTGACGCTTTCTTGAGCCGTTGTCAAGCGCCGTGATAACGGTGTGACAAGGCGGTCGCCCATAAGCAGTAAAGATACAATTCAGGAATTCTTTCCCTTGGCAGAGTCGACGACGAGCTGTTCGGGAGCAAAGATGCGCAGCTGATTTCTTCGCTCGGGATCTGTGAGGGGCTTCCTGAAATGCTACTCAGGATTTTCGGAATCTCGGAGGTGGTGTTGTCAACTATGTAGCAGCTGAACAATGAACGCAGCGATCTCTCTCATTGCGCGCAAGCATGGAGAGTTGCAATGCAGAAGCGTGTTGTTTGGTAGATCCATGTGCGTTGATTGAGTTGCCTCTTGATTTGCTGAAACAGATTACATCACGACTTGATTGCCTAGCAGCAATTGCTCTCGCTGCTAGCAGCAAGCGGTTCCTGTCTTTGGAGGCTGACCAACAGAATGGACCACAAACATGCCGATACTCTCCAGTTTCTACTGAACATTATTCCCCTTGTGGTCAGGAGCTTCGCTGGTGTAGCAAACGGCAGACCATTTTGGACAAAAGACCGCCAATGATAAACAAGCTCGGGCTGACTGTGAGGCTCCTGCAGTCCTCAATGTTCCCAGGGGGCTTGCGAGTTCTGCAGCTCAGAGGAGAGCAGACAAAAAGCGGCTTCAATTGCTTCAGAGGAGCTGGAGGCAGGATATGGCGACAGGTCTCCCTTTCAAACTGCAGCGGTGTTACTGACGGCGCCCTTCTCAGCCTTGGCTCTATGATGTACAGCGTTGAAAGAAGTATTTCTGTTTCAGATTGCGCTGACTGCTCAGGAGCATTCTTCTATTCTCCATCTTCGAGTTTTCGTGATTGGGGAGCGGTCGTACTGGAACGATGTGAAGGAGTTGCGTGGAAGAAACTGCTGCCACAGCTCAGCCAAGCAAAAAAAGTGGTTCTTTTCGAGTGCACCTTTGATGTGACGGGGGACGGCTTGGACATAGACTTTGAAAGGAGGATCTTTGAAATCAGCAGCAACAAGAAGCACCTGGAGGTAAGAAAACGTCAGATTGGGGCATCTGCCTCGTCAGCTTGCTTAAGTTTTGAAGGGAGAGGTTCCAGTTTGCATGTTGCTGAAAGCGGGCTCTTCTATCCTATCCTTTGCATATGTGTCCAGAAATCCTGAAGCTAACTTTCTTCCTCCTTAACGGTACATGTTGGACCACATAGTGAGGTACAGGATGCTTTTCATGAAAGCCACCTGCCTTGCTTTAAGAGCGTCAGCTGATCTCTGTTGGTGATGTACTACTGCAGGTTCTCTGCATCAAAGCTTGCAAGACCCTGTCGGCCAAACACTTCGCGGAACTTGGCACATGGTCCTGCCATTTCAGGGGCCTTCGACATCTGGACTTGAGTTGGAACGCAGGTCTCACCTCAATTACTTTGCTAAGCATTGTTCAGGCCGCACCAGTGCTACAAGAGCTTCACATCAATGGCTGCCACGCACTAGAGGTCAGAGTCTTCCTCAATCTTCCAGCTGGCTTGAAAAAGCTTTATGCAACGTGGATCCCAGGCCTCAAATCTGCGTCGGTAGTGCGCAGCTTGCTCGAAAAGTTGAAGCAGTTGGTTCATCTCGATGTATCCTTTAGTGTGCCGTCAACAGCAGGGTACGAGATCTTAGCACAGGATGCCGGGCATCTAAGGGCTCGTTGGGTATGCAAGAATAATGTGTTCACCCGGAGGAGTCTGCAAACGTAAGGGAGCAGCTCATACGCGTGGAGCAATACCACCTTTCAAGATTGGGCTGTCATCCCGATTCCGAACTTCGGAAAGCAGTGCGAGTGACTTCGATAAAGAGATCCAAAGCTTGTTCGTTCAAGCTCCGAGACAGCCGACTGGATATTTTCTCGGTGTGCAATTCTCCGAGCATGTATACTGCCACACATACCGGCGTGGAAATCAATTCACTGGCATATGCCTTCATATGTGCCATGATTGAAGTCCCCCGCACCACTTGGCAGCGGCTACTTGGCGTACTGCGAGTTCAGTGGCCTGACTGGCATTGCAACTGATCAGGAATTACTGAGTTGTATTCTGTCTGCACCGTTGTGGCAATAAGTCACTTCGAGTTGTAGACGCGGCGATCGATGGAAGAGCTGACCGTCACGGAGAGCATTCTGGGGCAGCATACTATACGTAGCTCCGCAAATGATACATGGGCGCCGCAATTTGTACATGCGCTAATTCTAGTTTACTTTGGTGATAATTTTATGAATGTTTTTGCATGGCCCGCTGGTCGACTTATACGATAACCGGCGGCGTGGCCCTGGGACGGTTGAATCATGAATCACGTACGGTTGAGTGAATCATGGCGTATAGCAGCCAGAGCTAGCCGCCAGCTGTGCATGCTACGCAGCAGTAATATGTTGAGCGCGGCCTGATATTTTGTTTAACTAATATATCGCGGTAGCCAGCATTGACCAGGCGTCAAGGCACTGCAAATTGGGCCGGCCTCATGTGGGTTTGAGTGAGCGAGACGCTGCCGCCTAGGTACGGTAGGCAGCATGCACAACCCATCATACATGATACACGATATTGAGATAAGTATCTGCTTATTTCCAAACACACAGTGAACCAAAGCACTACGGGCATGGCCGTCTGGCCTTCCATAGAGATCCGTCGGCTGGTCAAAGACCGCTCCCTTGAAAGGAGCATGGGAGCATTCACGGCGCCACTGATGCGGGTCTGCAGCAACCTGATTACGCGGAGGACCTTCCCGTCAACGCCTAGCCTGGATTGCGACCAAATTCGACGATAAGGGGTCTTCCTATGATCACGAGGCCGTTGGTAGCCTCCAGAGCTTCGCGGGCTGTCGGGAGGTCTGCAACGATGAGACGGATGGAGTTCGTGTTCTGCACAGTAACCAGCTAATATCTCCACCGATATTGCAAAGGCAGCAGGATTGCCCATCAATTTTGACAAGAATGTTCGTTCCTCCCTGGACTCAGACAAATAAAGTGAATGAAATAGTAAAAGCCGTACGGTTCCAGCCTGACCCCGAGGGTCAGAAGTGCAGGGTCCAATAAGAGAACATGCGGCGGACGTTCAAGACGTCCAGATAAAAGCTAGTCTGAACATAATTTGACCGAACAACTCTAAGCAACAGCTTGCTGTTGACGGACGTTTAATCAGGGGTATCGGACTTCCAAAAAGCCTGGCCCTCCGACTTTCTAAGGTAGGGATCCCAGCCAAGTTACAAGAAATGAGAAGGCAAACCGAAATGAGAAGCACGTCGATGAACCGAGACTTTGAATCAGAAATCTGTTGCTAATCCAGAGCACGGATCCCTGCGGTCAAATTAGGATCTGGGGGAACCGTCAGTTACATTTGAGAGAGGAGAAAGCATGTGGTATGAGACCGGGATGCCGAATGGCCTGAATAAGCAAGCCCCGTTCATGAGAAGCTCCCAATATCTGTAAACACTTTTGAACGTAGGATTGGCGTGCTCCAGTGTGTTTTACCTGGGAACGTGATGAACGCTTGCCCTTTCATCCGGCCCCTTTGCATCAGACGAATCGAAACGGAGGGAGCGCCGGTTCTTTGGAAAGGGAGGAAAAGCGCTAGTAGGTCGCCCTTGATCACACTTCTGTCCAAATTCTTGACGTAAAGTACCTGCCAGAATGGAGTCATCTCGAGTAATCAATCTAACTGGGAAGGTTACATAGAGTTAGTCTTTGATGAACCCGCAGCTCTACTAACCCACGGAATGCGAGGCCAGTGCTTTTTGAGGTCATGAAGCCCCGACACTCGAGTGAAGCCAAGTTGAAACTTTTAACACGGGTATGGAATCGTTGGGCAAGGCAAGGTTGCTTCTACTGACTTTTGATCTGCGATCGCAACTTTCGTTCAAATGCGAGATGCAAACATTAAGCTTGGAAACCATCAAAGAATGTAGTGGGAACGGGTAGCTCTTCGTTTCTGCAGTTTTTGGATACCTTCAAGGCTCCGCCCATCGTTGATCAGGCTAACAGGATCCGAAACAAGTTTGCCTGCTTCCAAAAGCACCCCGCGACAAGAAAGGTGCGCCATTTGCGACAACAAAGGCGAGTCATTTGCAGGCCTTCAGCGGGCAGCCTGCCTTCCACCTTTAAGAAACATAAAATCAAATCTCCAGGATAAGGACTTGCCTTTGATGGCTGTCCGGGGGACTTGGCAACACCGGGGCCCTCTCCTTCTCCTGAGACTTCCTCCCGCCTCCGCTGGTTCTGTGCAACTTCAGCTGGTGCATTTCTCCTTGTTTCAGACGCAACCAATTTAACACCACCCTGCTTCTGCGGGGGTCCTGGTCCTTCTGCCTGCTTTTGGATTGATTTTGGGGAGGGCTCAAGCTCGGCGTCTCTTCTCCTCTCAATTTTGGACCTTACAGAGTCCCCTGCTGCTCCTAGACTTTCCCCTAGTGATGGCTCACAAGACCCTGGGTCCGCAGGCAACTCTCTGCTCAAGAGTCCTGATTCTAACATTCGCTTCTTGGCCCTCCGAACGCTCTTCCTTGAGGGCCCTGCTCGCTCTGTTCCCTCCTCTTTCCCAAACGTGCTGATGCTCCCACCAGTTCCGCCATTCAGTTCTCGTCCTACTCTAGCTTGCTCCCCTGACCTCGCCCCCAAATTCAATGCATCCTGACCGCCATACAGCTGGTCAGGCGCATTCTGGACAGTCGCCTGAGGGTTGTCCGCATCCCCATCGTGCAAGCGGCTTGCAAACTCCTTGTAGTGGTCTGCCTGCAGCTTCCAGAGCAGGTCCATGTCAATTACGGACGGGGCTCTGTCCGCAAACACGTCTGCCGCCGTCCGAACCTCCTTCTTTCGGTGCTCAGAGTTCTCCTGCAAGTCATGCCGCGAGGCAGTTTTGTAAAGCTGTGCTGCATCATGAGCCGCACTTGCCATTTGACTACCTTCAAGAGAATAGAAGCCTATACCAGTATCTTGACTAACGACAGTAGACCCCAAGGTAGCACAAGCCAACTGCGCAGTCTCTTTTGAGCGGTTGTCGGCAGTGACAAGGCCAGTACTCCTCTGTCTTGCATCGCAGAGAACGGCAGCAGCACCCTGCTTTAGGTTTGCAATGCTGCCCAAGATGCTTATGGTGTTACCAGCTCTGCCTCAATTTGGCTTCCTCAGCTTCTAGATCCTTCTCATAATTTGCTCCCCTGTGCTCCATCAGCGAAGCTGAAAGCTCGCGCATTGGGAAAACATCAAACCACACTGTGATGTTTCACTGATACCTTCGCTTTACAGTATCTCTTAGTGTCTTGCTGTGCAACCTTGGAGGCCGCCAATCGAGGCTGCCATGCATTGTTCAGTTTTCAGCAACCAGCAACCTCCCAGCAACAGTGCCAGTATCAGACCCAAATTTTGACCTCAGGCCCAGGGCCCTAAAAAGTGCTGTTCTGTCTTTGCAGCCGACGCCTCCCGCCACTCTTCCGCACAGAGATAGCAGTCCTGCGTCGTTGTTGTGCTGCTGGAGCCAATTAAGCAACCCTCCAGCGCCAGAGCTGGCAACTAGATAGAGTTCTCACTTCTGGTGCAGTTGATGGCATGCATATCATTGAATGGATTGCTCATGACGGAAACCGAACGTAAAGTATCTGATCCGAGCCGTCCGATGTAAACTAGATAAGACTCTTGACGGCTCAGGTACCGTGTATGTTGTCGTGGCACTGATCTTGAACTCGGAGTTCGCACTGGCGCGTTGATTGTTGGAACTCAGAGAAGAGTCCGAGCGGCCTGGGGCCGCATAATAGTCTCAATTTTATGTCGAGTTTCGGCTATGTTGATTTAGATCATGCCCGGGTTGGTTTGGGGGTTTACGGTGAATCGATCTAACTCAACATACACCTAACTCCACATAAAATCGAGTCTTAATATCGAGTGTTATGGCCGCCCGCACGGTCGGGAGCCATGGCCGCGCTTTGCATGAGATGTTCCTGACCGTCACGGTGTTCTCTCTGACACTCAGACAGTGTCAGACTTCAGTGACATTCCTAGGTATATCGCTGCAAGTTCAACACCAGCGCCCCTGTCCAATGCAAGCAACCGTCTTGTGTTCCCCTTTCTACCTTCATGAGGGGCCTTCAAGTTGTTGCCTGTTAGTGCATCTAGCTGTCGTGGCCTTGATTCTGAATTGACTGAGAGCACCTCTTGGACCTTTCTCGTGGAGGTCCCATGGCTTCAAACCTCAGTATCGATCTGGTGACTTGGAAGTTGCGGACCGTGAGGGTGTTCATTCAGTTGGTTTAGAGCAAAAAGGCAAACTGTTAACTTTGGCCATAGCATGTTCAGAACAAAAGTAAAGTGTGATCTCAGATGCTCAATCTTCTGCAGCTGACTGAGAATAGAGAACACCTCGGCGAGCAGAATTAGGTTTTGCCACTTTTGGTGAATGAAAACTTTTGAGGATAATTCTGTTGTAACCCATTGCCAGAGCAAGGCCTTCTAGGAGAGGCAGAACCCCTGCGGAACCGGAGAGTGGGTGGGATTGCAAATTTCATAAGTTGAGGCATCGAGAGATGAAGCAAAGCTGGGAACCTCTAGTAAGCATGAATGAACCTTCTGCTTCTGGAAAAGAGAGCCGATCCATGGAGTTCATGGCCTCTGAGCGGCTCGTAAAGTCCTGGTCATTTGCTTGCTGCATCATAGTGACGTTGCCAGGTTAGTTTCAACGATTCAATGAATTTGAAGACGGCTAGTCGGCATTCTTTTCAAGTGAAGTTTCTGAAAGCGGCTGTCCTTTGAAACCCCGGACCATCTAAACATGATGGCGGGTACTGCCATGAGTATGTTTTGCTTACTTTTAGGAGCAAGCAAGAATTGAACAGATGCATTGGCTTGCTGCCACGTTGAAGCTCAAGTAGTCCTTGAAGAGACAGTGAACAGCATCCAGTGGCTGTACAACATACTGCGAGGTGGTCATGCACAGCTTAAGTGGTCATGCCTTAGACAAACAAACTGGCACGAGCATTTGGACGCTTGCGCATCCATCACCAGATTACCTTGTTGAGGCGTCCACACAGATTCGGACCTGCTATGTGCAGGAACGTGAGCTGGCTACAACCTTGTTCCCAATTGACGAGATCAACGTGAGACATTCTTGGTTCAGGCATCCAGCGCGAACAAGCAAGGCGCTAATACGCTGCACCGCTGGTGACGTCAGGGGGGCTGTTTGGGGATGGTTTCGCCGGGCCCCTCGTCAAGAACAGCCGAGCTGCAACAAGAGTGCCGGGGGGTCTGGCAGATCATGCTCGCTGTCGATGCAAGTGCGGGAGTGCCAGAAGGTGCGCTAGAGGCTGGGCTTCGGGGAGCGGAGAATGCGGACCTGCTGAGCGGGGGGAACCGAGAAGCATCAGAGACGGACCAACAAAATATCGGCGGAGCGAAGAATTTAAAGGGGGGGAGCCTGCTAGAACGGAGGCCTGATGCAGTCATCCCCCAAGCCCTGCAACCGCAGAGGTCGATCCCAGGGAATGGGTTCGCCGGCGCTTTCAGTCCGGTCCAGGGGTTGGTTTTACCAGCCAGCAGCACCCCCCCGATGCCTGCGTACCTGCTCCCAACGTCCAGCCTCCAGAGCGGTCTGTCGCCACCACAACCGTTTGGCCCCCAGGCTGCTTTACCCCCCTTCCTTGCTCCCAGCCCCCCAAGCGGTAAACCCGAACCTGCCGACCCCTCCTGGGGGTTCAAACCGTGGGGCGAGCAGATGCTGTCCCGCCGCCAGGGGGCTGGCGACCCAAATGCTGCCGCACCCCCCCATTCCGGACTGGGGCGGCTGGAAAAGTGGGAGGTCCCCATCTTTAAACCGGCTGCTTTTCCTCCGTCCTTGATTCCCGCACCCCCCTCCAGCCGAGCCACACCCCCCTGGACATTTCGAGAGAACCCCTCCCCCCCCTCGACAAGCTTCAACTCAACGCCCAGGGGGGTCAGCGTCAGTGGAAGCTCGACCCCCTCCACATCAAGCGCCCCGCTAAGTCAGGAGTTTGCGCGCACTACGCTCGCGCCCGGTGCGCTCCCCCCGGGCGCTTGGGAAGGAAACTCTGGCAGGGGGGGAAGTGTAGGGGGGACGCCAACCGGGCGACGTGCGGCGCTGGACGCAGGCGAGAGTAGCGACAACCAGATGCACGTGCCTCAGTCGGTGCTCAAGATCGTGGCACGGGCGCTGCAAGCGGACCTCACAATTGCAGCGATTCTGCAGGTAGGTTCGGTTTCTCGAGTTGTTCAGAAACGGTCTCGGCTGTTGTGCTCAAGGTCCCTGTGACCTGGTTTTCCTTTGAGTGGGCAGCAGGTTCAAGGCGTTTGGGTAGGACATTGCAACAACAATCCGAGCAGAACAAGGATGTAGACCAAGGTTTTAGCGTTGCCAAGGATCTGCAAAGTAAGCGTGCTAGGAATCGGAACTGACGTCTTGACCACTGCTCTTTCCTTCCTTGCTCACTGCAGCAGATCCCGTAACCTTTGACATTCTGATCAAGTGCATCTTTGATACCGTGCAGCAGCTAAATGCAGAGTTCACCCTACAGGAGTCATACGTTCCTCTTACCCTAAGACAGAAAACGCGAATATCCCACTCAAACTCACCGCCTCTTTCCCCGCCTTCCCTCTGCAGCGGCCCACCCGCCTTGCCGAGACAGTTCTCTGCGTCCCCGAGGGCTTGGTAACCGTCCCGGTTCGCCTGAGCAAGGGCGTTTTAGACGCGGCCACCGGCGAAGTCGTCGACACCGAGAAGCTCCTGCTGCCAAGCATGCTCACGGCCGCGCTCGGGGCCCGGCCCCAGAAGCTCCTCGCGCTGCAATTTGCCGCAACCGGATGCGAGGGGCTGTGCTACGCGATGTGGGTTCGCGCGGACTCGGTTCCCGGAAACGCGGCGAGCATAATGGCAGACACAGTGCAGGCGTTGCCCGCGTTCCTGACTAGTAGGGTGCAAGCGATGAGCACGGAACGGCTGAGCCGGCGGTTCGACGCGATCCTGAAGCGGATGCCGCAGGGTGTGGTGTTCATCGACGACGGGTTAGGGCCGTGTTTGGTTAACCCGGCTGCGGCGGAGCTGCTTAACTTGCCCACCTTTGGGGAGCTGGATCCGGTGAAAGTGGCGGCGACAATGCATGAGCTGGCGGCGAGGAGCGACATGAGAGCGGAGGTCTACCGTTGGTTCAACGCGGTTGCTGGGTATGTGTCGTTCGTGCAACCTCCTTCCTTGCTTGCTTGCTTGCTTGCTTGCTTTCTAGTTGCGTGAGAACCTTGCTGCGTGAAGTTCGTAATCTATTTCCAAGTCTTGGGCTCGCATTATCAACCCGGAGAGAACACTACCCGAGTGGATTTATGCTAGCTTCTGCCTTTCAGTGGAAAGCACCTGACCGCTTTCATCGCAACCGAATACTTACAACAGCACTGCTGCGTTTCACAAAACTCTTGCTTGCTTCAGCACACCGAATAGGTTCTTTAAGATCGAATTTTCGTCGATGAAATGATGAATGGGAGGGAGGTGTCCTGGTCCTCAGAAGAATCTGACTCTCTGTTCTTGAAGGGTGCGAACCCGGTGAGATTCATCAGCTTCTTCAGGCACCCACTCTTCAGGCACCCACGCAAAGTGTAGGGACATGTGCTCTTCGTAACGTCCTGACTTGCTAATGCCTTATGCAGGAACCCGAACGAAATCATCGAGTCCGATTGGGTCCTTAAAAACCCGCGCCAAGTGTTACGAGTCCGGTCATACCCGGTGGGAGGCGCGTCCAACCAGCTGATGTCACTCGGCATCGAGAGCCTTGTCCCCGAGAAGCAGCGCATGACGCACGGCCGCGTGTGGCTGTTCGATGACGTCACGGCGGAGCGGGACGCGAGGGACGCGATCGAGGCGGCGGACCGCGCCAAGTCGCAGTTCCTGGCGATGATGAGCCACGAGCTCAGGACGCCACTCACAGGTGAATATACCTGAGTGGCTCATCCCTTCTTGAGTGTGCGCAGTCGTTATATTCCGCATCTCCCGAAGTTGTTAAAGTTGCGAGGGGTGGATCTTTGAGTTCCAGAAAAGCGCTTCAGGTCGCAGCTGTCGAACATGAGCTCCGGAGGCCGCTCAGTGGATCGAAGTCGCAGCTGACTCTATACTCGTGTTTGCGTTTCCCGACATCAGACCACGATAGATTGAAAGCGAGAAGCGTCCAAGACGTGCTGAAAGTCCTGAGGAGATTTCTAAAGAGATCATGTACCCAGCATAAAAGCCAAAGAGTCCGGTCAAATATTGTTGTCGCTGCCACGTGGATGCATGTGGTATAGATCCAGCCTGGTGGGCTTGCCGGGAACCGTCGAGTTCTGGGAATCGAGTCCGCTTTGGTCGCCACAGCCGGAGCGAGGAGAAGGCCTCCGTTTCACTACAAAGTCGTTTGCACCACATGCATCTCACGTTCGCCCCTTAAGTCTGCAGTCAAGAAAAGAAAGCGCTGGTTTTCGGTCTAGTTCAAGCTCTGCACAGCTTTTGACTGACCAACTTTCCTGACATAGCTTGCGACTACGAGCCACCTTGCAAATTGCTCAAGCAACTGAAAAGACGCTACTTACGAGGTCCCAAGACTGAAACGCTAAGCTTTTGCCCTCCTCGTCCTTACGTCTGTCCTTCGGTTGCTCTGCTACACGAGTTCGAGGCTCTTCGCAAATGTCTACGCTCTTCCTCCCCAGGTGTGCTTGGGATGCTGGACCTGCTGCGGCTGACCCCGCTGTCGTCAGAGCAGGGCCGGTACGTCCGCGCGATGCAGGGCAGCGCGGAGTCCCTGCTAACAATCATAAATGACATCTTGGTAAGACCATCTTTCAAGCTCGCTCGATTAGTTTTACAAAATTCCTCTGGGCTCCAGTTGCAACCCTGGGAACGCCAGCTTTGAAGCCGTCTATAGTATTTATACAAAAAGCGTTTGGGCTCGAGTTGAACCCCTGGAAACGCTTTAGTGCCTGTCCTATGGTATTCAAACCAGAAGAACATACGACGCTTTCAGGTTGTCGCTCGGCTTGCTGATTGTCCTTTGCTCCTAGATCTCTTCAAAAGCTGCGCAGGAAATCTAACTAGTCACTTGTTGAAGCTCCCCTGTGCACTTACTGCCGAACGCCGCCGGCCTCTAGCTGTCACGTCCTTCTATCACCCACTGTGTTTGCTCCAGTCCCTAAAGTAGACGTCCTCCTCAATCTCCAGTACCTAAAGAAGCCCTTTTTGACTCCGCTTTCGCTCTGCTCGTTTCTTCAGGACTTCAGCAAGATTGAGGCGGGGCACCTGACGCTAGAGCAGATCGACTTCCACCTGGGGGTCCTCGTGGAACAGGTGGCTGCGCTCTTCCAAGGAAAACTAGAGGTGCGCCCTTTTGCTGTGGTCCGGGCTCACCAATTACCCGTGTGCTGTGATCGTCCTATTTGAGAGAGCTCAAAGCCAAGCTCCGGTCGTTTCCTCCATTCGTCTACATTCTCCTCTGTCCCTCTCTGACCGGCCTTGGTGCCAGATTGCGCCCTTGTTTCTTTCTTCCTCCCTGCTCTCTTTCTTGATGCGTTGCACAGCTACCAACTGCTCTGAAATGAAAGCTGTGGGCGTGTCTGCTCTGATTTTCACGGCTGCAAATGGGCGTGGGAATCGCACCTTTTCATCTTCCCTGAGGTGAAAAGGCGGAGTTGGGTCAATCATGGTTTGGTTGGTGGAATAGGAACACTAGAATTTGACTTTTCTAAGACTGTCTTCCGAATAATCTCGCTCTTGCGAGAGCACGTTTTCTGTCGAATGCTGGGGTCGAAATGGTGCGCTCTAGTCAGTGCACTTTGGATCATCCGCTGGCGGCTCCACAGCATTTGTGGTCCTCCCCGCCCCTCTCCTTCCCTTTTCTCCGATCGGGCCCCACTGTCAGGATTCTGCCAGCCCAAGTCTCGGGCCCTTTAAACCCGGGGTCAAGATGTTGCTTTCGATGCCGCGAGTTTGTGCTATCGAACAACCCCAAGAATTCCAAAAACTCTTCAGCTGTGACGAGCAAGTGTGCAGCTGCGTTCATGTACCGTACCATCTCCCTTTGGCAAGCACTGAAACTGTGCATCCGGGTACAAAGCAGCCTCAGCTCAGGTCTGAAGGTCCAAGTGCGAGCTGAAAAGCTGCATGGAGCCTCCAGATTGTTTACATAAGCAGCGGGCCGGGCATTTTCCCTTTATTTAATGACTGGTTCTTCGTTCAAAAAATACCGTCAGACGCAGTACCTCCAAATCGAAGATTGCGGTGGTTCAATAGCAGGGGAACTGGCAACATGTTGACCTTGGGTTTAAGGGGCCCGAGAGTATTCGAATCTTCCTCAATCTTCTGCTGTCCGCCAGAGTTTTGAAAGCCCACTTTCAGGAATATGTCAGACTACGTCGAGCTGCCCCTCTTTATTGAGCTCTGACTCACTATCCCGGTTCTCCCTCCAGGAAAAGACCCTGAAGCTTACCCTGGACCTCCCCCCCTGGGAGGAGCTGCCCGTCAGTGGAGACCCAGTCAGATTGCGCCAGGTGTTCGCAAACCTGGTGTCCAACGCGATCAAGTTCACCGAAGTGGGGGGAATCAGCGTCTCGATCCAGCGGGTGGGCAACGCAAAGGGCAGCCGCGGCGTCAAGCGGGACCGTGCGGGGGTCTCGCGGAGCGGCACGCCGAGCCCTACCGGTGAGGATTTCGTGCACTCAAACTGGATTTGTTCACCGGAAAGCTTTTTCAGATGGATTTGAGGGTCGAGTCCGTCACAGTGCGCCAATTAGAGCACCCACATACACACACTCTGGGTCAAACATGTCTTTCTGTCACCCTTACTATGAAGACGACCTGTTTGACTCTTTGGTGGACGTCAGCACATTTGTCCCGCGTTGCCTAGTTCCGCCTTGCCGTTCAACATTTGTTCTGAACCTTTCAGACCGCGGAGATTCTTAGTCCGACTCCGTCACGAAGTCATTCTTCAAAGAAGACCGTCTTCAAGGTGGAGGAACCTCCTGAACTGCGAGAAGGAACGTTTTATGACGTCAGTCTTCAACTCGGATATAATTTGTTTTGAGGAGAAGGGCTGGATGAAGCCTGTGCGAAGCATGCGAATGTCCCAGGTATTCCTATTCCTGTTCTTTACTATGTAAGTTTGTCTGTCAACGCTATTGGCCTCTATTTTGGTATGTGGATTGTCTCTACTGCACCCACATCCATAGCATGCGTGGTCAGAGCCAGTCAAATACCTCTGAATTCGAGTACATATCAGTAATAAGAATGGTTGCGTTGTCCCCTGCAGGCTCGCATCTGTGCACTCCCCGCACTTCTCTTTCCCGCCGGCCCCCTCCCTCCGACATCCCAGACCGCGTACCCACCCCCCCTTCCACCAGCCACGCAGCACTCCCCCAAAGAGAACAATCAACTTCTACCGACTGCTCAGGCAAGTCTCTCCGGCGGACGCCCCCGCCCCCGGAGTGCGAAACCTTGTTGGGTGGCGATCGTGCAGGAGACGGGGGCAGTGACATCAGCCAAAGAGCGAAGTTGCCACGTGCCCACGTTCTGGGCCGCCGAATCTCGGGGCTCACGATCGAGAAACTGGAAGATTCCACGTCAGAAACAACGTCGAATCCGGACGGGCAGGATGGGCCGACGGGCAGATCGGACGGCCGGGATGGGTTTGTTACGCCAGAGGAGGAGCGCGCGGCGAGCGGAAGCGGGCCCCCCCGGTTGGAGGGGAGCGCAGCGGGGCATGCCAGGAGTGTGTTGCGGGAGAAGTCGCGCCTTTCGAGAATGAGCCAACCGGAGACCGACCGGCGGAGCTTTTCGGATCCTGGTGCCAGGAAAGCACCCGGTCCTAGTTGCTCAGAGTTGGGCAGGGCCGCGAACGGGGGGCCCGGAGTGGCTTCAGAAGCGGGGGGTGAGGTGGTTGGCGAGTCGGCCGCATTAGCGAAAACAGACGAACCGGAGGCAGGGGTGTCTGCACCGGAAGGTACTGAGGGGTCAAGCGAAGGGTTTCTTGAACGGGGAAGTGGTCTTAGGCCAGTGGATAAGGCGCGGGATCCAGGGGCCGCGAGAGAGGATCTGGTCGTTCCGGGGGGGACGGGGCCGCGGCGAAACGCTGCGTCCTGGGGGGATCCGGGGATCAGCCGGCGCGCCTCGGCGACGACGCTCCAGGATCACGAGAAGCGGGTTTGGTTAGAGATCAGAGTTACGGATACCGGGATTGGGTTGACGAAAGAGCAGCAGGCGAAGCTGTTCTCGGCGTTCATTCAGGCGGATGCGACCACGACGAGGCGGTTTGGGGGAACAGGGTTAGGGTTAGCGATTTGCAAACGGCTGGTCAACGCGATGGGGGGCGAGATTTGGATCACGAGTGAGGTGGGCGTGGGGAGCACTTTCGCGTTTACGGTCGGGTTAAGGATGGCAAAGGATGCTGAGGCGGTTTTGGCGCTAGAGGGGCAAGCTCGGGGAGGCAGGCCGAGCACACCCCCCCTGGAAAAGGTGACAAAGGCAAGCCGGGGGTGCCGGGTTTTGGTGGCAGAGGATAACCCTATCAACCAAATGCTGATCCGTAAGATGCTAACCCATTACGGACATGAACCACAAATTGTCGGGAACGGACAGCTGGCAGTCGACGAGATCAGGGCCAAGCCGTTCCACTACACGCTGATTCTCATGGACCTTCAAATGCCGGTGCTAGATGGGCTCGGCGCAACGAAGGCGATCCGCGCACTGGGCCCGCCGGGAGCGCTTCCGATCTTTGCGCTGACGGCAGACGTGTTGGTGGGGGCGGGGGAGGCGATAGAAGAGCACCAATTGGACGGGTACTTGACCAAACCAATAAATTGGGAGAAACTCGCGGGGGTGATTGAGGCGGCAAGCGAGGCGGGGCCAGTGGCAGTGGAGCCCGCTTCTTGAGCAACCCCTAGTGCATTCTAGTGTCATTATATTATTAATAGCTCTTGTACGACTACGGTGTTCTTGAACGGGCAGTTGATTTTAACGATTGGTAATAGCGACAAGCTATCAGAAGAAGATGGAAAGTAGGTCATATTAGAGTTACTTCCAGTAGCCTCCTAGGTGTACAGCCGGGGATCATACTTGGGTTGGCGGCGCATGCGGTGAGCTTAGAGAGGATAGGCTTGCGTTCAGAGGGCAGCCCGGCAAGATCAGAGCGTTCTACATTGAGCAGATTGCCAGCCAGCAAAGCAGGTCCTCCAATGATTGACAAACATAATAAGACGCTTGCAATTGTACTTATCCACATAAAGCTGGCTTGATGCTTTGAACACATGAAACAGTGCATAAATGATCAAGGGGTATACATATATCGTCATCGATCATGTTTTTTTTTTAATTTGCAACGATACTAAACAGCTGAAAAACAGCTGCCTGAGTGATAGCTCAGAACATGAGTTCTAGAGACTGAGCGTGATCGTTGTTGTGCAATTGGCGCGCGCTTGATCGAGCAGTCGATCCAATCTAGCTAGCTCCAATCCGGTCCCGGAAGCACATGCACTCAAAGCTCTCATTGTGCACGATCATGATCGGATACATGAGGGATCACATATACAGATCATGTTTGGGCGCCAACTCGATTGTACACGTAGTCCCATAATATCCAATTTAAGGGGCGGGCCATTTGCAGGTCTAGTTGGTCGCATTCTCGACCGATCATCGATCGCAAACACAGTGCAGTCAAGTCATCTTATCGAACATGTATAGCTCTTTAATAGGTATATCAGGAGATACATGGCAACCACGCCCATCCTTGGAACCCGGTAAAAATGCTGAGCTCTTTACCCAGTCTTTCAACGGTCTCAGGATAATATCGATGAGTCCGAGTCCATCAGACATTGCTAGCAGAATGAGTGCCCAGTGGTTGGCCGCCTCGCGCGTTCTCAGGCATCCAGCTCCAACTTCTATGAGTAAGCAGTCAATGGTAAGAGTTGCGAAGTCGGAAGCTCTTGAGGCGCGATGCACGTGGTCCAGTGTAGTCATGTCCATGTGATCAATGCAGAATTCGTTGCAGCCCATGTGTGAGTGCGTGTTAAGATGAGCCGCTTTGCGCTCCTCCGGGTCCTGCTGTCACGGTCCGCCACTGGCATAACCTATAGGACCGACTTCCCAACCGGGGCCCCAAACTGCTGTATACTGGAGCCGCACGCAGGCTCACTACCGAACTCTTCGACGTCGATGTCCCGTCCGGACAGCCGTACTGTCTCGGACATCTCTTGCTCGGCCCTGACGCCGGCGTCCGAATTTTCGCCCCCTTCGCCGTCCGCCGCCAAGCCCCCCAAAAGCTGCGGCTCGATGGCCCCGAAATACGAACTATCGTGCTGCACTCTTTCGATCCCGCCGCTGCCCTTCTTGACGCCCAGAAGGGATCCCTTCTCTCCGGGGGGGTGTATCACTGCGCGGCCCGCAGCCCCTGGAGTACCCCCCCTCGACCCCCCCGAAGAAGGATCTGCTCCGGGCTTGCTTCCCGAGCCCTTTCCGCTTTGAACGGCAGAGTTGACAAAAATTGGAGGGGGTCCCTTGAGCATGGGGTTCGGCATGATACGGGACAAGGGGTTGGGGCCTGCGCTTTCGGAACTTTCCGGGGGGGTGCTTGCACCGTTTGCGGCCGGACCGGCCTCATCCACGTCATCCCCGGCCAGTATCACCTGTAGTTCATCACAAAGAGTTGGGTAGACGCAGGACTCAAAGGTGACACTAAGAAGCAGCTTTCTATGAAGTGACTCTGCCACGAATTTGACAGTAGGACGGCAGCAAGTCGAAGAAAGAAGCCTCCAAGCCGCACTACCATTCTACTCCTGAGGCTAAACTTTTCTGCCCTCAAAGAGGGCGTCCCGTGACCCGTCACGCCTCGGCGACCATGTACCGCAGAAATGGGGCATTATGGTCGCTCGGGACAGATTCCAAGATGCAATTTTGTCCGTCCGATGAGGGTTTCCCTAAGGACTCAGATGCCACTAGTGCGCTTTAAAATCTGACGCCCTCTTTAAAGCTCCCAAGTTTCCAGTGGAGGCCGTCCTCCCGCACTTCATGTACGAAGCACGAAAAGCCTGCGTCCAATGCCGACGCTTTGCAAACTCTCAGAACCGGAGTCTCCAATTGAAGATTTGGAAAGCCGGCCGACCAGCTTCTCTTCAGAAAGCCGCAAAGCGGGAACACAAGAACACGCTCAAAGGTCACCTTACATCCTGGTCGGAAACTTCGAAGATGTTCAAGCACACGATGCATGTGACAATCAGCAGAAAGCCAAGGCCCTCTTTATGCCCTTTCCTCAAACCGTTCCTCTCCCCACCTTTCGTCCCACGAGATCAAACGTGACCTGCACTCGGCTCCGCTTCTCCCTCTCTGCATGAGCGGCCAGCGCCTTTTGGGCCCGCAACTTTGTCTTCTCCTGCAAGAGAACAAGCGCGCTTACTACATTAGCAGATGAAACTTTCTGATGAATCATCACTTACAGGCGGTCGCCCACGTAGCAGGAAGAGGAAATTGGAGGCAGATTCCCTTCGCCGCTCTGAGATTCTACTTTCGTGACGATGACTTGTAGAGTACTAAGACCTATCATTGCAGACTGAACAGCGAAGTCAACGCAAGTCACCCTGGATTCTCTTGGTCAACCTGCTCTGCAAGATCGATTTAAACCGGTTCAAGATATTCTCGCCCTTCTGTCTTCAGCGCATAAATTTTTATTGACGTAACGAATCAGAGCAATCCACGACTCGAAGCACAATAAGAAGAGGATGGTTGTCCATCCTGATATCACACCCCGAGACAGCAAGAGTTTGATTGGTTCGATACTCCTGAGGAATATGCTCTCCATCGTACCAAATGAGGCAAACTTTCGAGACACGGGTTCCAAAAACGTTCGAAGAGGTCACACAAAGTGGATCTAAGTGACATGGTCAGATGCCTCTACCAAGTGGATCTGAGACAGCCTTGTCCTTGACCTCTAGAACAGAAAGTCAAACATTCCTGATTTCTTGGCGCAGTGTTAGCTTAGCTTGGGCCAACAGCAAAAACTCCGACCTCCTGTCAGCTCATGCACAGACTCTGGACCAGCTCGCTCACAACCTCACCTCTTCCGACATCCACGAATCCCCATCAATATCCATGTGGAAAAAGTCGCTCTGATCATCGATTACCGCCGTCCGCTGCGCCGACGACCTATCATACTCCACCAGCCGGTCCTTGAACGCGCGCGCTTTCTCCTCCGCTTCTAGTTTCTTCGCCAGCTGCTCGTCCGTTTCTCCGATCCGAGGGGGTAGCAGCAGAGGCGAATCACCCCCCTGAAGCGAAACCATTGTACCGCAAAACATGCACGGCCCCTCCCCCTCCTGTTCGCAAATGATCCGCCCGCACGATAAGCAATTGGTAATAAGCCGGTGCCGCCGCGCCTGGCAGTCGCATAGCTTACGGTTTGCCACCAATAGCCGCCCGGCCGCCACGTCCTCTACGCGCACGTGCCCCCCCTTGTTTTTCTTCTTCCGGGCGACCTTCCCTAGCGACGTCAGCCCCTCACTCGCGCCCGGGGCTTCCAACCGAGGCCCACTTTCCGCATCGCCACTACTTACATTGGACTCCTCCGTTCCCCGTCCTTTTTTCACAGTCTTTCCCGCCTTTTTCACCCCGCCTGACTCCAAAGATGGCTTGATGTAAGCTTGCAGATTGCTGCCAGACTGCGATTGGTCTGAACCCCCCCCTCCAATGGCTGCTGCGGTTGGCCCCCCCAAAGAGGAAGAGGGTCCGCCGGCTGACCTTCGCTTGGCCCGGTAGATGTCGACGATGCCTTGCGCCTGCTCCCCAACTATGTTCTGCACAACCGGAGTTGCAGATTTAGTCGGAAGAAAAAAATCACAGGTCTGATGAACAACAGTTCTCGTATGCATCAAACTCAGGCAGGCAACCTGATGATTACACCAACCAAGAATCTCTGCAAAATGACCACCATCAGAACGTCCATCATCAGAATGTACCAAAGGCCACCACTTATGCGATGAAGTAACTTGATAAGGTATGTCCTTTGTCAGTTGGCTGAAGCGCCTCTATGATGGAGAGTCTTTTGATGGTGGTGTGATTAGAAAACAGCAGCATCCCTCAATTCAGCAGAAGAAGGGCTGTCTTGCATGCAGAAACCCCCATGAAATGGCGATTGTGGATCGTGCATTCAACAACTGAATGCTGAGAAGAGTTCAGATGTTTGCTACATGGATCACGCCAATGCTATGTTTGAGACCTCCACCCCGGCACACAACCATAACACTTCTCACAAAATGCCACCAAAGGAAACCTCTCCTAATAATCAGGTGACATCCAATTATTGTCAGCATTTGCGAACCAAGAGTTGCTTGAGAATTGATTCGGGAAGCCAGCTAATCCTAGCAGATACCTGCTTTCTAGAAAGACAAGGATGTGTGCGCATACAGAATTCTCTTTTGAAGCAGAGAAGCATATTCCAGCGCTTATTCACCCCCTGGTACTTTGACCACCAACTCAGTTCTCGGTTATTTTTCAAGCTCAAGCGCAAATTCGATCCCTATGATTGCACATAATTTGAGAACATATTACCGTGATATATTCTGCTGCATCCTCCTCGTTGGCCCTTGCACAGTAGTCCACAAGGCCATGCACCATCTCCTCATCCAGCGCAGTGCCTCCCTGCTTGGACAGAGCAAGAAGCTGCTGCCGCAGCCAGTCTTCTGGTGCCGCCATGCCTCGCAAATTTTCCAAATGCCTGTACACGAGAGCTAGGTGGAACAAAGAAAGAGAGAGCAACGTATCTACACGTACAGGCTACAGTACCGCATGTCCTCAAGGCTCAAGCATGCATTTGATGGCCACCACCACTCGTCACCTCTATAGCTGCATAGCTCTGAAGGTATTATTGTCATGCAAAACCCTGCACATGTGACATGGTGTAAATTGTAAAAGGTACCGGCCGGCCTAAAACGCCCGGGCGGGAGTGTACCGGCCTAAACTTAGCCGTCCCCGTGCCTGGGACAGAGCCCCGGTTGCTCGTTGTGGCACCACAGCAGGGAACTCCCTCCCCCCTGAGCCCTCCTCCAGCCTGCATCGTGTTGGCAAATTATGTTGCATCCTTGCGGTCCATTTGACCATTCACTTTGCTGCAATTTGGCGTATTACATGAGGGGTGCCCAGTGTCTCACAAATTTACCTATCGTCCTAGTTGCAGAAGCTATGCCGCATTGAGTTTTGCTCCTCCGTTCACCATGTCTGCGTCACTCAGTCTAGCTGCGCATGTGATGTCTTCGTCAGCCACTGCAGGCGGGACTGCAAGCGCCACTTTGCAGTGTTCCCCAAGAACGAGCTAGAGCGCTCGGGGGTGAGGACCTTCTCGGACGGATGTGGCTGCTGACGTCATGCTGGGAGCGGTGGCAACAGCGAGGTATGGGGTCGTCCTCCTCTCGTGGGGGTTCTTCGAGCGCGAATGTTGCGTAAAGGAGTTGCAAACTTTCCTGGGGCGCAGACTCCTTAGCTCAGTCGTTTTCACCATGTCTTTCGCATGATGGGCTCTGATTGGGATGGGAGAGCCTTATTATCTTTGAGTGGAAGATGAGGAATTGAGGACGTTGCTAACCGGGCTACAAGCTACGACCATGGAGGCGCACGTGGTTACTGGGTATGGTAGATGGCAACTCTAAAAAGTGAGCTCTTGCATATCTCGAACCTTCTTAAGACAGGGGCCTGCAAGGCTTTCTAAGCTAGATGAGCCGCTTTTCGGCATTGAGGGGCATACATATAAAACCAGAAGGCTGATGGGCACTGATCCGACCAGTAAATGGCGAGAAAGTTCTACGCCATCGTTGAGCACAAGTCATCGACTGGGCCTATTGCGTGCTTCCTTGTTACTCCGACGGAGTTATTGATGCCTCGCAATTGAATGGAAAAGCTAAGGAGACCCTCAAATCGGCCCGACATGCCGTGTTCCGACTCATGTGCAACTTAAGTGTTCAATGATGATCCTGGGCGTGGCAGTTGAAACAAGACCGACGTCCCGCCGGCTTCATGCATCGACTGTGAGTCGGACCCTTAGACCTGTAATAAGGGCTTCATGAAGCGCGATAAGTGTGAGATGTATCTATTACAAGGAGGAACATGTACACTTAACTGAAACCAACTTGGGGGGCAGAATCTGGAAGCTACTGTATGATTCGTCCTACAACACTGTACATCGCCCTCTAGCTTTTGGCTTCTTGAGACATCTGACAAAACGAGCCGACTAGAACCTTCATGCTTGGCCGTCCGCCCGCTATAATATGCGTACAATACAAAAGCCGCAACTCGAACAACATTCACGCCCCGCGCAAAACCAAGGCGCTTTCAAGCTCCACAAACCTTACTAGCTAATGAATGTCAGTGCCCTCCCGTTGTGGGGAATCCAAACCACACCTTGACCGAGTCGTAGATAGCCCACTGGAGGCCCGTCAGTGTTCCAATCTGGACGATCCGTAGCGGCAGCCCGCGGACGAAGAGCTGCGTCATGCCAATCTCCTTGACGGCTTGCCCGAACGCGGCGCCCTTCTTGTTGTTCATGAACGAGACGATGTTGTCGGCGGGCTGGAACGGAAAACAAAGATTTTGTTGTTGCTTTCCCCTTTGGTTTTCAATTTCTTCGCACCAAAGTCTTGATCAAAAGTACAACGATAAGAATCACAGTTGGTAGCAGGCCAAAGGGTAAATCATTCGTTGCAAAATTGGGTCCGCACGTTCCAAGCGCCCTATGTGTTCTCGGCGGGCTGGCAAAGATACGCAGGAGATGAGCACACTTGGCAGCTTGCTTTAGTTGAGGCAAGCACGTTGTCTGTGAGAAAGCGTCATGAGGCCAAAGTTTCAAAGGTCGCGCGAGACACGTTGTTCCAAAAAGAGACGGTGTTGTTGGGCTGACGAGGGGAGCGAACATGTAAAAACTTCGAGAATGAATCCGAGTGAAAACTTTGTTCCGTAGCGGACCCAGGTGGCGGGGACTGCCGATGACGCCTCTGCCACCGTAAGAATTGACTACACGCGCGAGCGATTGCAATCAACGGTGTTCCATGCTGTAGTCCTAGAAGGGCAATACGAAGTGACTTCAAAAGAAAGAGCAAAAGTTGAAACTGTTGCGTTAAGGAGGGGACGCATACCTGGGAGATTGCCGCGCAAAGGATTCCCGCGAGGTATCCTCCGGCAAAGCTGACCCCGAGCTGCGTGTTCTTGGAGCACTCGTTCTTGGGAATGGGCACCACGTTGCGGTACAGAGCCGCGACGATGTTTTCGAAGGACACAAACTTCATGACTGCGGGGAGAGAAAACAGGCTTGGCTGACTGTCCGGCGCAGGTAAAACGAGCGAGTTTTACGGTCTGCAGATTGCTTTCGAAGGCTACGACAGGGGAGGTGCCGGTGGGTAACGAAACAGAGTCATCATCACTGCCTGCAGGACGCATTCGGCAGCCTCGAGAGTGGGTTCAAACGAATCGGATTTGTGTAAAAGGCGGGTTTTGATAGATCACATAAAGGCACCTTCAACATCGCAACGATCGGGAGCAGATTGCACGTAACACCCCCATCAGCTTCTTTGGAAGACGACCGCTTGAGTGGAAAACACAGCATAAGAGAAGCTTTGGCCGAGTTTGATCTGAGGACGGGTGGCGGCGCGCCAAGTCCAGTTCGTCTAGAACTTTGTTACTTCCAACTTGGGCGTCGGGTTGTGGTTGAAGTCAGCCACCAACGACAACTGCGTCACGATCTCAACGGTCGCAGTCTTACTAGGTGACTCTGTCGTGTAGTCTTCGGGACCGTTGATCCTTTTTGTCATGCATCGCGTCAGCCTACGTCAGCAAAGCCAGGGACGCTCACCCGTGTAAGGGATCTGCCGGCCCCACAAGGGCACAATCCCCTTATACAGCCCCGCCCAACCATCTTCCGCCACGTACTTTGGTAACCCGTCCACTAACCCGAAGCCGTAACCCGGCTGCGTCTGCACGCGCACTTTGACCGCCTCGAACGGACACAACGCGATGTCCGCAAAAACCTCCGCAGATGCACTGTATGGACGGAGAATGACGTCAACTGCTATGCATTCGATTCAACTGACGTCACATTTCCAAGCCTCCAATCAGAATGCACGTACTGAGAAAGAAAGGGGCTCTGACGACTCGTACAGATGTCACTGTCGATCCAATCAAAGCTCCCTTCAACTGCTGGGACATTACTAATATCGTCTGTCGCAGAAGCTTGTAATCTGCCAATGCTGGGGCGCTCGAGTACGAGCAAACCGCTGCACTTTGCACCATGGTCGACCATCTGATATGAACTCAATACGTACTGCACCACGAGCTAGCTGGTACGACGTCCGATGGTCGGTTCTGGTCCTATCAAATTGCTCTAGATTGTCTCAGCCAAGAGACTAGGCCAATGATTTTGACGGCCTGTCGCATTGTAAAGATCCGCTCACAGACGCTCGTTCAACTCTTGCTTCGCCTTCTCCGACCGCCTCGACTGGAAGTCTCACCACGACAAGCCCTAACAAAGTTCTGACATGGATGCTGATGTAAGCAGCCACGTCAGCCAAGACGGGTTCGCGGGAGCGCTCACCTGCCAAGGGCGAAAATGAGCTGCTGGTACTTGACCGCGTTTTCAGGCCCCGCCAGGTCGGAGTAGTACTTCTTGAACACCTCGTAGCCACCGTACTTGAACGCGCCCTGCGCCCAAACAAGGCCTCAACGTTTGCAGCCCCCGTTTGCAGCCCCGTAACGGAGGCCCGAACTCAGTTCAACCCAATCCTTCCTTCAGACTTCAAAAAGCGCAGTCCCTGCTTCTTTGAAGAAACCGGGTGCGGTTACAGTGACTAGGTCAGGGTGAGAAGAGGAAGAACATGATCACTGACTTGGAATCTCAGCGCGGCAGATTGACTGATTTCGTACCAATGAAGGCCAAACGTCAACCCGGGGGGCGAGTAATTTAGAGAGACCAATGAAAACGAATGGAGCCTCCACCAAAAGCAAGTCGCTGCGGATCTTTGAAAGCAGGAAAGCCGAGGCCGGGAAAACCCGGCTGGAGCTCACACTTGCTTCAAGAGTAAAGGGCACGCGTAGAAAGTATCCACGAGATATCGCCCCGTCTGCAGAGTCGGGTTGTCGAGCCGAATAGCTGAGTAGCCTCCGCCGTCAAAGTTTCCATTTTAGTACACAACTCCACAAACACTGGCAATCGAAGCACTTCAGCCCTTCAGACGATTGGCTCGGCCTTTCTTGACGCCTTTCAGGTGTTACGGCATCGTGCACTGAACCAGATCAAGTCGCCCATGTTAGAAGTCTTAACTTGGATTCTCTGTCCTGGATATTTAGACCTTCAGCACACAAAAGGACTCCACAAGATGAAGGCTGGCGAGGAACTCATGACCATTGGGACCGTAGAGACACAATGAAGGAGCTAAGCCCCCAAGAAAACAACGGAACACCTTGAAAACAGTAGCCCGTGACTAAGAGAAGTGACCACTGACAAAATCACAGCCTCCAGTGCCCTTAGTATAGCCCCAGAACATGAATCTTCGAATGGAGACCCGAAACCTCGAGTGCATAAGGATTAAGGAGTACCTCTCAAATTGGATGAAAACCAGCGCCACAAAGGGCAACAACGACCAGTTTGAAAGCTAAACCCAGAGCTTGAGTGCTCCGCACCCGTTCACACCAGACCCTCTAGCTAACCCCACCCTTCTTTAGAGATTGGACAATACGTTTCCTGACGCTTAACCCTGGAAAATGGATTGAAATGCATCGTCGTGCCTGCCAAGATCATACCTGAAAGGAGTAGCCGATGAAGGTGGGGAAGTGGCCTTTGAGGAAGCCTCGCATGCCCTCCTCGCGCCACGTGATTGCAAAGCTCGATGGAATGGTTCGGTACTTTTTGGGGTCAATCTGCATGTTGCACTTTACCACGTCCCTGAAAGGAAAGCATCAACGAGGTCTAGGTTTTGAATGGAGGATTCTAGTGTTTGTGTCCCCTCGATGCGGGTTGCTGCAGAGTTTCTTGGAGTCAATTGAATGATTCTTAGTAGGGTACAGGGTTTGGTTAGCTTGGAACACATTGTCCGCTTTTTGTTGCGCTTCCGTCTTCTTGGACCAGTAATCGGACACTACCTTGACGCCCTGGCATTAGGTTAGAAAGCAAGCTCTATTGCCACAACCGGTACATATGTGGTTCATTTTACACCCAATTGCATGTATTGCTGACATTGTAAGGGTCTTAGAAATGCAGTCTTCCATAGCTGCCAAGGTGAAATTCCCTGACAAAGATAGATTCTGCGAGCTTTGTCAATGTCAGCCGCTGACCTTCATTCCACCGATTGACGAATGGCTCTGCAGTAACCGAACATGAGATCTGAGGGCCGCAAGGAGAACCTAGGGTTCCAGGGTCAGCATTTAATCGATGTATCGAGTGTGACAAGTGCCCTGAGTGAAGGCTTTTTCAATAGCCTGCTACATGTATTCCAAGCCCTCGAATGGAAAACCTCATTGAAAGCTATTGAGGGTACAAAGTAGGACCAACCAATTGTGGATAGTTCAACTTACAGGGGGGTGACTCCCCAGTGCGTGGGCCCACAGGCGAGCGCCCCCCCGGCGAACGCAGCGGCGTAGTACCCAGTGGAATAAAGTTCCAGCTTCTTCTTGGGTACCTGAGCCTCCGCCATTTGCGGAATCATGAACTTTGACGACTGCAACAAGAATTGAGCTGACATCAGCTTGCTTGTTAAACGATTTGACTTTTGCGCTCACCCTTTGCGGTCGATGCTTATTCGAAGCTAATGATGTAGTGGCATCAGTGGGGGTTGCAGTGGTATCTTGGTGGCAATGAAGCTTAGTATGCAGTGAGATCTGACCTCACTTCACTTGCATTGCTCTCGTTGAGAGAACCTGTTCGTGGCACAGCCAAACAGGACAATGGAACAAGAATCTGACTTTGCAGTCTTCAATCAAGACAATCGAAAGAAAAGGACATCTCCTCTCTTTCAAGTCAGCTCCTAAACAAATGCCAAATGCACTTCCGAAACCTCACGAATGTGCCTTAAACATAACAGTCTTGCCCTTCCACCGAGCTTAGCAGGATGCCAAGAACATGATCAGAATGGGGTGCAGAATCATCGTGAGCTACAGGCTAGTTGGCAGCATTGCTTTTCCATGCGAGGGTGGACCCTTCAAGAAGTCAGCCGAATGTCCTCTTTGGGTCCAAACACCAATCTGCGCCTATCTTTACGGCGTGTTTATGAGTTGCTTTCACCTGGCCAATCGCAGATCTAGTGCTCTGTGAGGTTGCATGCGGCTCGGACGGTCCAACATTTGGTGGGGGCTGATCCAACCGGGCAGCATTGGATGCTGAGTCCAATGCCTGCAACACCCCAGGGCTTGTCGAGTAGAGAAACGAGGGGAGCCCAATTGGGCGCAACTCTGAGTGCGGGAACAACCCCATTGATTCAGACGTATGGTTAGCCCCGTTTGTTCTGTAGCTAAGCCCTCGGTGGGTTTTAGCTAAGCAAGGCTGAATGCGGCTGTGGTTGAGACCAATTGGATGAAAGAAACTTGTGGTTCCGAGAAGCAGCTAGCGCTTCTTTGTAAACAGGCGCTGGCGCAGACTGGTTTGAACCTGGTTGGAGTCAAGACGTCATCTAGCGGCTGACGTCAGCGACCAGCGCACCCAAGTCAGACAGCCTTTAATGCTTTTGTGCAAGTCCTCCTTGTGCAAGGGTTCTGATCTTTTGCTCCCATGAAGGTGAACTGAACTTGCCGCCCTGCTTCGAGGTTCTCTACTCCAAGTGCCGCCCGCAAGAAAGGCCGCCGTGCTTCCTTCTTATCGCTAGCATTGATTGGATTCCTTTAGCTGAGATATGTACAGGGGGAATCAAGATCTCCCCCCTTCCAATTCTCGATCATGAAGTTCTTCCTTCTTCCTCCTCTTTCCCCACATTGCATTCCGCTTCGCTGCTCGCCACGTATAAGAAGCTGACGATTCCTCCCACACCAGCAACTAGAGCATGACGTCAGATTCACTTCATGGGCGCTAAACTCCTGCGAAGGCGGCACGTGGCGGTCGGAAGTAAGTGCTTGGGATTCTCGAGACGCAACCGTGACGTGACCGAACCCTCGGAGCGGATCAAGGCGGCCGCCGCCCGCCGTCATGCAGCGCACTGCACAATGAAGGCAGACTACAGAAGACCGCAGGTGACTAAAGAAATACAACCCTCAGACCAATCATCAGAAAAGGCCCGCCGTTCATCGAGCTGAACAATTACTCAGTTTCTCAGTTGATCCGAAGATAATGCTTTTTTGCACCGCATCTTCTTGAAAAGGCGCTCAGGCCAGGGCAGCTCAGAAGCTTGTTTCCATCAAGTGGGTGCACGAAGAAGTAGGGAAGGATCGCGTCGGGGTAACACCCGGCGCCGTCCAGTCGCAAGCCCCGGCGGCAGAGTATGCGCTGGAGGCCTAAGAGCCACCGACTCGCGCTCCCCGCTCCCGGCGGGGATCTGAACAAACACGATGACGTGGCAGCTCAGCAAGCACCGCAGATCGACGAACATGAGGGCGCCATTCAGGAGATCGATGGACCAGAGCCAATGGCAATTGACTACTACGGAGGTGAACCAAACCGAAATCCGGGTTATGATGAACAAAACCAAACGCCGAAACCTAGCGTCGTCATTCCCTGGATCTTCAAGGAGGTTGCCGCGTTAGAGGGCCGGCTCGTACTATCATACAAGAGGGACATAAGCATTTTGGGTCTGTTCCAAAGCATGCCGGAAGAGAACAGACAGCAGCGCGTCACGATGCGCACGACCCAGTACCCCGCCTTTGCGGAGGCGCTTCTACAGTCTTGGCTTCACGAGGGGGGGGAGAGCTTCAAAGACGTTTTTTGTGAACAAACCTGGGGGGCAGTCGCCGGGTATCTTCCTGCTGACGCTATTCCCCCGAAAGATGTGCCAGAGATTGAGCTCTTTCTTGAGGAGTTTCTGGGCGGGAAGGAGTTTGGACTCTCGACGACGGTCACAGTGGGAGGGCGCTGCGGGGATCAGCTGGTACCAACCGTCTTTCGGGCGTTCTCAGACAAGGTCCGTACCGCCCAAGTGCAGAACCTCCACGTGAAGACCATCCTACGCGCGCAGAACTTCTTGTATCACCTCGTCAAGGGGTACAGTCTGTCGCCGGAAAGGAGTATGCTAACCCATCCCGAGTGGACCGGTTCGTTCGTAGTTTCCGGGCGCCATTGGGAACTGCGGGATAAGTACGCGGGGCTCTACAGCGAATTTGAGACGGCAGTGAACAAAGGCTGTGGGGCGAAGCAAGAGGCGGACCGTGCAAAGGGGGAGACGGAAATGCAGCTCAAGGGGGGTTTTAGGCAGAGTCTGATGCAGCGGGCGCCGTGGGGGCCGGGGCAGAACTAGGGTGGCAAAGAGAAGGGCGAGGCAGATCGGTGGAGGAGAAGGAAGAAAGGGACGGGCAGATCGATGGTCGTCTTTACGTCACAAGCAACCTGAACCTGCGAGTCTAGAGGCAAAAAGTTGAAAAATCCGTGCGCAATAGGGAGTTTCGCGCCGAGTCGCGTATGCCTGTACTCACGGCGATTTTTACCCGCAGAATTGCCATTTTTTGATATTTAAGATCATATTTGACATGGTCGGTATCATATGTGGGTCAAATTGGACGATGTAAAATGTTTGGAGTTCATGGGGAGGGCGTATACAAGAGATTGACCGGAGGGGTTGGTCCAAATAATTTTTTCGACCGACTTATGGCAGCTTTTCGGCCAGATTTTGACTTTTGCCCCGTGTACGGGCGATTTTGACCTCCGAAAACGGCTAAGTCCCGAATTTTTACACTGAATCGAAAACCGCCGTACGACTCGGCGGCGGTAATTCGAAAATTCACCGCCGCGCTCGACTCAAACAGATAACGAAGAATCTACCGCGAACAAAAAAGAATTCCCAGGTGCGGCTTGTGGTGCTCTGCTCTATGTATAGGTGACCGAAAACTGAGGATCAGAACCGCGCATGCGGGACACAACAATAGCGAGATGTTAAGTACAAGATTGAAAAGCATAGGGTAAATGTATCATGTATAGTATGGTATAGTATGGAACAATGATTATTTGCTTAAAAAAAGCACTAAATGTGTCAATTGTGAGATTCTGTTAGGACCCTGCCTGTAAGTTGCTGTATAAAGTGGATACCTGTGAGTAGAGCCAGAGTTTGGTTGTCAGTCATTCTTACCTGTGACAACTCGCTTCGCTGCCGGGCGCGTTCTGCAAACAGTATGGCAACTAATCAATGTATTCATGAGCTCATGTGACGGAGGAAGAACCCTGGTAGTAGGTGGTGATCATCCATACTGCGATCTTTCCAGCAGCCTCAAACAAAGTGCGGAGTAGCTCGAGAACCCGCTTCCCGAGTTTGATCCATCGAGCCATCTCTCCAGTATATCCCGATTTGAATTCTTCCGTGATCGAATTGACTCAGTCCGCTGCTCTTGTGAGAAAGTGTTCTCCGAAACGACTGGGATACGAATCAAGACTCTGTCCGACCCTTACAAGAATCAGCAAGGTGATGAGTAGATCTTTGATTATATGGAGGCTTGCCTTTCACTATTAGCTAAGACGGTCCAAATTCTTTAGTCACACTGATACGAGAAGAATACGATCCGAGGATGCGGAAGCTATATCCGGCCTGCGCTAGGCTCATGACTCTGACACGAAATGCTACGTACCAAAATCACCTCCTTCGAGTACCTAGTCGCTCAATACGACGGCCGACGCGCCAATGTGAGTCGAAGATTAGAGCTTCGCGCCCATTTATATGCTTATAACAAGTGATCGAGTCGGGTCAACCAGCGGCGCCATAAAGCTGGCCGGATCATGAATGTCCATGTATATAAACATGCCATGACGAAAGTCGAGCTCCGCCATGTGTTATCTAGCATCATGCAAACGTTAGCCTTCAAATAACGATTATTTGACGATCAATAAGTGCAGTTGCTTCGAGGAGAGTTTCCAACCTTGAATGCATCCACAGTCAATTTCTGATCAGGCTTCGATGTGGCAATTTACGAGTGCACCAAGATGTGCAGAAGTGATGCTGACGTGTCAATTGTTGGCCGCGCGTATCATGAAGCAAGGAGTGTGCTGAGTTCCGGAATCTGATGCACCGAAACCACGAGGTCATATTGAAGCTCAGAAGACAGTTCATGCAACATCTGCATGAAAGCAGTCGATGCCACCGCGGGTAAGTAGAAGGTCGACTGCAGAACTTCGAAGAGCAAAAGCTTCTATTTAAAAGCCTGTAGCAAATGAAGGCATTACATGTATCCGTTTCCGTGTCCCTCGAGAACCAACAGCAAGTTCGACGATACACTCACTGCTCAACTTGTTTCCGAGAGATATCCTTTCCGAACAATCCCGCAATGGCTTCCGTAGGGTTCGCTTGTTTTACCAACGACTCTCCAACCAGGACCTGCATGAAAAGAAAGCCCCGTCATTGCGATTCGTCCACAACTCCCTCACCAAAACGAAAGTACTTCAGCACTGCCCAGTTCCACCAAGAATCAGACGCTGGAAATTAGCAACGCTCCGAATCCAGATACGGCTACCATACTGCGGGACTTCTCCGGGTGAAAAAAGAGATACGAAGCAAGGCAGAAACAATACGACCGAAGGCCCTACACCATCGCTTCTTCAGAAAGCAGACAATTCACAAGCGTCTGTCTCCGACTGCCCTTTTCTCAGCCCCCTAATGTCCAGCACGCGCAAAGAACAACTTCTGAGGGCCCCCCGCCAACACACGGCAGCCAAGTCTGGCAAACGTGATGTGCGGGGACTGCGTAAAAACTCTCACAGCTCCGACTCCCGCCTTTTGGACGATGGCGATGTCCTCCGGAGTTGCGAGCGCCGACTCGCCCACCAACTGCAATAAGAGCAAAACCACTTTCTTGACAAGCTTCCTCAAGAGCTCTTGAAGCACTCCTTGGCTGTCAGAGCGCGTTCGGAGCTGCTCCGGCACCGGTTTCTCCCTCTAAGAAGTGGGGCTCTCTAGGATTCATTCTTCCCGGAACAATCTGGCCCCAAATTCTTGTCGTGATTCTTCAGTAAAATTGAGTTGTTCAATTCGTTCGTTATTTTGATTGAAGATTCAGCTTGCGCGTCTCAAGGTCAAGCTAGGTCGCTATCGTTTTGAGTGCTCCCAGGTAAATCCGGCAAACAGGTCATTAATAAACGGCGACCTTCGTGTTCGGTTTCTCAAACCCTCAGGCGAGTCTTGCACACCGTCCCCACCCAACCCATCACGCCCGCGTTTGCTCCAAGTATGAAAATGCGACGTGGCGGCTCGCTGGTACGTGTCCCGTCTCAATACAAGAGCCCATCAAGCCCATACTCGCTCAAGTGTAAAGAGCAACACCGTGAGATGGGCAGCTAGCAGGGCCTTTTCACACCGCGACTCGGAAAGCCCATCAGAAGTATGTTTTACAGCGCGAAACGGGACTCACTAGGATGTTCCGCTCCCGGATCTGCTCGCCGCGGCCGCCCTCGAGCAGCCGCGCTGTGTTGTGGATGTCCGTCTTGAACGTACCTTGAAATGACGAACCGGTGACGTCAGCGAAGATAGGCGCAGCACCACCCATGACGTCAGCAAGATCGACAAGTTGGAAGGATTCCTGACCTCCCATTTCAATTGCTGGTGAAGACCATCAAACCAGACCGGCTCAATGAGACCGGCTAGATCGCTCGTTGGTTCGGTTTCAGACGGAACAGATTGCGCTCTTGCATCCGCTCATCTTGACAACCTTACTGGAACTGGCCAACAAGCTCAAGGACGTAAATAGGCACTCATCAATCCAATCGGCACGTCGACGATGGAAGCGCGTTTTCAAGCACTTGGAAATGGAGATACTTGTTTGTTACACCGAGGAGTTGCCAATGGTATCATTTCAGGTCTTCTCCTGCGCCCTACCTACGTAACTCGGAAACCCTGCCTCTCCAAGAGGGCAGGACATTGAGGACAAGCGCGGCTTGAATGCTCACTCAGATCCCGGTTGTTGATCCCAATCATCTGCACGCCGTCGATTCCGAGTACCCGGTCCATCTCTTCCAGCGTGTGAACCTGGAGCAAAAGCGAAGCGGAGCGTTAGTTTCTCACAGGGTCTCGTTTTGTTCCAAGTCCGCTTATTTCTGTTTCGTTCTGCTCTATCCTTTCCCGTTTCAATCATGGGCACGCCGTAGATCCGAACACGTGGCCCACTTCCTTCCAGCGTGTAATTTTGAAGCAAGAGCGTGGCGAAGCGTGTATGCTTGCAATCCGAATCTCCATCTAGTTCCGAATCCGCTTGAGTGGGTTCCGTTTCGCTCCATCTTGCTTCACTTTTGTCCCTCTCGCGATACCGTCATGCAAAGAGGTCGAACGACAGACCACCTTAAGCGACTGCCACATTCCCAATGTTATCCAAACGTTAGGCCCTTTTCTTGTACTCGCCAGACTTTTGGGATGCAGCAGCAACGGTGGACGGAGTGCGGGAAGACTTCAAAGTGACCAACTACTCGAACCCGTAGTGCCTGAAGCGAAGTGGAGAGTTCCCCCGAAGATAGACATACGTGACCTGATCAGATTTATTTAAAATACAGCTAGAAATCTAACTGAAAGTGTCACAGGCGATAAAGCAAGGTGAAATTACAGCGCCAATGCCACGAGATAAGTTGTTGCCAGAAACGATGCAAAACACCATTAGCGGCTGCAGGGTGCGGCAAAGACTTCCTTCCGACTTCCCAATCTTTCCTCCAAATATCAGCGCAAAGGAGTGACCAGCCTCGTCGAAGTATGCGCGGCCATACGTTGAAATGCTGGACCGACCGGCAATTGGCTTACTCGGAAGGGCGAAAATCACTATCTGACGCATTGTTTACATGCAAACATGCTATAAGGTCCCACCTTCAGACGCTCGTGAACAAGGAGAGAAGCGACAGGGAAGCTGACCTCTAAAAGGGCTTGCATTCCGAGGGACTTTGCGATCTTGGACATGTAGATGAGGTCCACATCAGGAAGGACCGCCGCGATGAGGAGCACCGCGTCCGCGCCCACCATGCGCGCCTTGAAGATCTGATACGCGTCGATGATGAACTCTTTGCACAAGATCGGCAGCTGCAGAAGAGGGTAAGCTATAAGAGCATGATTGAAAAGCAGATGATATCAAACCGTTTTTGAAGATGGAGCCGGTGCTTGGGATGCACGGCTTGGGGCAGGAACGTGCCGAAGAACGAGGTTTACAGCTCCAGAGTTCAGCCCCACAGTCAAGACCGAGCTTGCCTCCCAATTCAAGGTCACCCCTCAATACGAGTTCGATGACTATTCGAGCTCGTTCTTGAGGCTCGTCAGTCGAGATGTAAGACCGTCATGTAATGTTGAGTCTTCTCTTGTGCTTGCACCAAAGCCGACCATCCTGATGGGGAACTGCTCGTTTAAAGTTCAGCAGATAGGTAGTACGTCGTCTCATCCGCTACTCGGTGTATCCAAAGCATAAAGTGAGGGGCGGGTATCAACGGAAGCATCCAAGGGACATGCAATCACAATGGAAATAAGGTTAAGCATCAAAAACTCCCATGATAAGTTGACTTTTGCGGCTGGCATGCAGAGGCATAGGAGCAATCAACCAAGCGCCATTCCTAAGGGGCGCAGCCGTTGGCATGAGAATGTCCAATTTGGCGTTAAGAGCAGCCATCAAGTGCTCAGAACGACTCTGTGCACCTGAGTCGATAAGAAGGAGAAAGAGCAAACTTACCCGACTGCCAGATGCCCTGATTTTCACAATATTGTCGAAGCTCCCCTGCAGGAAACAAGAACGTCTGTTAGTGCAGTGTCAATCAAAGAAAAAGATCTCCCATGGGAAGAAGCGCAGGAGGAGCAACTTTTACCGACTACGGCAAACTGCGCGCGGCCGCACAGATGCTGCAGAACCGATACTATATCAATAGCACGGCAGGCCTTCCAGCGTGAATGGGACCGAATCCTCACCTGGAAGTACTTTTCGTCGGTCAGAACGCTCAAGCAGGCCGCGCCGCCAGCCTCGTATGCGCGTGCAATCAACACCTGTGTTGAAAGAACGAGGCTATCAGCTTAGCTTCATCACAACCCCGCCAATGGCAGGATAGTGCAACTCTTACAATGTCATTGTAAGCCCACCTTCTTGATTGGGATTTTTTCTTCGGTGGAAAACGACCTACACATGACACCGGCCTATTTCTCTTCCAAGCACGGTCGCCTTCAGTGTAGGGACACGTATTGCAGAGCTTCATGAACACAAGAGCACCGCAAGAGCACAAGCTTCCAGCATTTGCAGCAGCCTCCCAACTTGCGAAAGGCCCATTCTTAGAAATCGAAGCCGGACCACTCACAGGGTTAAAGTTGGGCTGGATAAGGCCTTTGCTCGGCGACGCCTTCTTGACTTCTGCAATCAGCCCCGGGACTCCCGTCTCTGCCGCCCGCTCCCGCAGGGCCTCCACGAAGTTGAGAGGGGGTGCGGGGTTCCCGCTCCTCTTCAAAGCACCGAGAGGCGTCTTCTCTTTCGCCTATTAAAAGGAAAAGCTTAGGCTTCAGTCTGTTGTGTAGCGCTGGTTAGGCTTCAGGGGCGAACGGATGTGTCCCAGCACGCTTGATTATTCTGCACATCTGCTGGCCGGAAGGACAACCATACCAAAACATACTGTAGGTTGCAGGTGAATGCTATCCCTCTTCTTGCCACCTTTAATGTATGTTTCAGAACGTCCTCCATCTCTCAATGACTTCCCCTTGCAACTGCGATCTCAGAAGCCAGAGCTGAGGGTGTCGTCAGCTTCTATCATTTGTAGTGTGGAAAACGCCTGAAAGAACTTGCCAGTTGTAGCCAGTACGGAAAAGAATGAGAAAGGGGGAAGAGACACAAAAGGCCACCCAAAAGGCCCACCTTTTGCACCTCCACATCCTTGTTCCACACAATCTCCTCCAATATGTTCCTCGGCAAGTTGTCCTCGTTCTCGATCTTAAACTCAAACGGCCCCACCGCGTGCGTCGGGGGCCCCGTCGGGGGCCGTCTCCTTATGCTCGTCTGCATCTTGGCCGCTTTCTCCTCCTTCTGTTTCTTCACCTTGTCTTCCCACTCTGGAGGCGTGATTGGGGAGCGCTTGTCTAGGTTAAAGTTGATCCATTCGGTGCCTGGAGCCGGGACGGCCTCTGTTGTTGCGGCGCTTGGCAGCGGCGTGGCGGGACTCAAAATGCTGGTGGGGGCGCGGGCGTCGACAGCTGGCGCTCCCTGATTGGGCTGCATCGGAGAAGGTGGCCTAAATATGTGCCTTGTGGGAGCGGAATCTGATGGGCGCAACTCAGATTGAGTTTCTCAAGCTAGTTCCCTCGCTCAAGTTGCGAACATAAAAGAATTGTCTGGTGATGCCTCTACGGCAAAGCAACATTAAGTAAGAGGAACAAGTAATGGAATATACTGTCAAGTGGCAGCCGTTTGCAGTGCAGAGTAAACATGGCCCCCCACATTCCTGACAATTAGGGTTTCCCTGGCTCCCTAGGAAGCCCAGAACGTGAATATCGGTAGCCCCACCTTCATAATAGAGAAAGTTTTTGCTTTTGGCACTCCATGGATACTCATTCAAGAGTACAATGCTTCAGACCTTCCATCAAGTCCTAAAATCCTCGTCACCATGATGAAGAATCGACGGCGTTGATAATTGTACACAGAAGGAAGACCTTGTGGTGAAATGGGGCCCAGTCATATCTGAAAAATCGATTCCCACATCTCTTCCTTCCAGCACACATTTCATACCACCACAGAGTAGCAAATAAACGCGCGCTCTGTGTAGAGACTTACCTCTTCCGCTTGGCAGACTGGCCTTGCACTTCTTCTAGCAGGAGAACGGAAGGAAGATTGAGTTGAGTTTGAAGAGGGAAGATCCAAGAAAGGGCTCAATCTGCAAGGTGACAACGAAGCAACGGAAGCGCCTGTCTGTTCTTGCCGAGCCTGGATGCTTGAACGAGCCAAACTTGTCTGTAACTGACTGCACATGTAACAGGAAGACGCCATTATTCGACTCCACGCCTTGCTTCCTTTCCCTGGCGCTACAAGTCCAACTGTCAAAGCTGCTCTACTGCATGAAGATCTAGAGCTGCCAAGTAATAAATTTACAGGTAAGTATCTGCACAATGCAGTGTATAAGCAGATTCCAACTAGAGATGCGAGTCTGAAAGGAGGGGGCCAGCAACTTTGGGGCTATAACCTGAGTTTGGGCTGTCGGATAATACTCGACGGCCCAGATGCTCTGCTGAGTCCAGGTCAATCTTCAATGCTTTTGCCTGACGGTCGGACTGCCCAGCCTGCCTTCCAAGAAATCTGTTCATCTGAATGCACATAAGAATCTAGATCAGCACGATGGGCGTCCCCCAGGGCCCCCTTCCTTCCAACCAGCCTTCCACCTTCGGAAACCTTCACCTCATCTGTGGAGATGGAGAGACTCCAGCTGACCTTGGAACGCTTGTCTCTGCGGCTGATTTGCAGGCTGCTTTGGACCGCATAAAAATCCGCTCTAAGGAATTGAAAGAGCAAGTTTACTTGACGCTGACAAACCATCACAAGGACTTGCTGCGGCTGGCGAGCACAGCCGAGCGGAGTAGTAATCATGTTGACGACATCGGGCGGGACTTTGCCTCTGCTCTTACAGTGCTTGGAAGTGAGGATAATGAGGATGGTGAGACCTGTGGCGATTCACCTCGTTGATCGTGCCCAGTGCATTGATTGCTTTATTGATCTGTGACCGGTGAATGACCACACATCCTTATGAAAAGCCAAGCGGAAAGAAGTAATTGCTTTGCATATGGTGGTGGTAAGTTGCCAGAGCAAGCTCCTCATGCGGATTCCTAGAATAGTTCAAAATAAGATCAATTATGAAGAAGTTGAGGCTAATACTCAAAACTAAAGCTCAAACACTTACACGCTTCGCACCGATGCCCACCCAGAACTCCCTAAATTAGCCCCACCCGTCTCACATGTGTGATTTATGATCATTACAAGCAATATAGACATCAATGCTCCTTATATGCACTAGCAGACACTTTCGAGTTATCAAATCGATTGACCAGACTTGAACTGCTCGAGTAACAACAGCCCTAATGGAAATTGAGGGTTCCACACATTGCACTGCAATTGCCCTCACAGGGCTGGCTACTTTGGCACATGCCCTGTTTTTGATCCCGACTCAAGAATTCAAACCTATGTTTGCGAAAGACATCCAACACCAATGCAGTTGCGTGCCTGCTGGGGGGCTGACATCACCTTCCCCCTGCAGGTTTGGGCGCTGACATAATCGCCTCTGCCGCCGAACACCGCGAGCTTCAAATTGAGATTGCAGCAAAACAACGAGCTCTAGAGGCAGTCTCGCTCGTCGCCTCTCTAAATCAAGGCCTGCAGTCACTTGACAAGCAGATCAGGCAGGGGCATCTCCCTCAGGCAGCCAAGTGGATTCTCTCCCTAGAGCAGCGCATCACTGGCTTGCCTGACAAGCAGTCCCAGGGTCCCCTCGTTTTCGGTCTCCTTAGGGAAGAAGTAGCGGCTAGGAGGAGTCGGGTGGAAGCAGACTTGGACGAAGAGTTCGAGGGGGCGGTTGTTGTGGATTTGGGCCGAGGGGAAGTGCGCGCAGAGAATGTGCCTGACGGAGGGGGCAAAAAGGGGTTGGAAACTTCGTGGGAGGCGCTCGACACCCTAGACTTGCTAGATAGAAAGCTAGAGAAGCTGGCGGCACAACTTTCAGAGGGGCCAGTGGCCTTAAGCTTGAAGAAGGTTGATCTTCAAGTCTTGACCACGGATGAAGAAGAGGAGTTTGCAAAGCTGCGGTTTGCAGGTGTCAGCAGCGAGGGCGGTCCAGCAACGCTTGTGGAAACATACTCGTCATTGGTCACGGTCGTCCAGTTCATCCACCGGCACGTCATGCATGGGGATCGAAGCAAGACCCTCCGATTGGGACAGATTCTGTGGCCGAAAATCGCCAAGACGCTAATCAACGGCCCGCTGACGTCAGCGGTCCCAAGCGAGGCCAGCAGACTGCCGGAGTTTGAGCCGCTTGCCAAGGCCTCAGCGGAGTTTGAGAAGGCTCTGGAAGCGGAAGGGCTCATTTCGAAACTAGAGAAGGGGCACGAGCTCAGCGCGTTCGCCGCCGACATCGATGTGCACTTTGCTACAAAGAAGAGGACGAGCCTGCTGGCCAGGGCGCGGGGTTTGGTCACACTGCCAGACTTGTGCTTGAATACCGTCACAGTCGGTTCAGGGATCGACAGAAAGCCTCCAGGGATCGAACCTCTTCCGGAAGTTGCTGACAAAACCGAGCCCAGGGGCAAAAAGGCGAGACCGTTGGGACGGAAAGGGGGGGTCGGAACTCTGGTGAAAGAGGGGGGGCATGCTGATGCCAGTCGAGGAGAGCCGTCAGGTGACATGCCAGGGACTTCTGGAAGGCAAGGGGGAGGTGGGGAGGAAGCAGACGAGCAGGGGCCGTTCTTTTACCTGCCGACTTGTCAGGTACGATTGGTCCTCCTGTCTAGTTGCTGCAAAGAATCTGACGGAGACCCTGTCGTGAACGTGAACCAATTGCAGGTATTTTTATCGAGGCGAATCTGGTAGCGAGGTGCAACCAACGCGACCTTCTTCGCGGGGTTGCGCTACTGACGCTTCACTTCGCAATTTCCGCACCCGCTTAGCTGCTGCTTCTTTATGACACGCTTATTGCCGCAGTCCCTTCCCTAAACATTGTCAGTTTGCTCTACGGACACTTCTTTCATTTATTTTTGCCAATTTCGTCTTGAGACTGACCATGTTTCAAAGGCTCCTCAAGCTTTCTAGCCTGGTTTCTTGTATCCATTCCTTTCAAAACGCTTCTTTCTAATCGTCGCCCTCAAAAAGGCCCTGTATTAAGCTCGTCCGTCTCTTTCCCCAGGTCTCCACCGCAGTCCAGCAGCTCGCCGAGCTCGCGCACGAGGCCCTTCGGGAGGCCACGCAATCCTCCGCCCGAACCGCTCTGCAACTGCACCGCACTGCTCGAGACGTCCTCCAGTTGTATCGGGCAATCGTTCCCGTGCAACGACAGCATCAGCTGGAAAGCGTTCCGCAACTGGCCATGGTGTTCCACAATGACTGCCTGTACATAGCGCACCATGCACTGATGCTCGGAATCCAGGTGAGCCATTCTCCTGGTCTTTTGAACGCAGGGATGACCGACCTTTTCGACTAAGTGTTCTATCTATTCGGAATCGTTGACAATCAAGCTTGCCGTCGAGTCCCCAAAGCTGCACACTGCAAGCATTGAAGACCTGCGCTGCAACATCTTGTCCCTGCGTTAGCGAGCCCAGAGTTGGTAGAGAATTTGGGCGAACTTGTCCTTCCGCTTGAGTTTTGTAAACAATCCACACAAGGGAAAGGGCTCCAAGACAATTGTTCATCTCTCCTGTTCTCTTCTGTGAAGAGTGCCATGACAGACTGTTCTGCAGTCTCAGCTGCCAATATGCAGCTTTATGGAAAAATGGCTTTGATGAAATTGGCGCTATTGAGCCCAATAATACTCTCATATCAGGCGCAGTTATTTCACCATGTCTACTAACTTTAGAAGCATCAGATGCGGCCTCCTTCCGTTGCTGAAAGTTAAATATTCTAGTGCGTCTGATCGTTTCATCCGTCGAAGAATGCGACTCTTCGAGCAGCCTGCCGCCTTCAACCTCAGCGGATCGAGCAGCGGCAGTGCTGTATGGGATTGTGCGCAAAGGTCGCCGTCAACGTCACACGTGCGCCGCTCGGTTTCCAAATGATTAATTTCCCAATCGACAATTCACATTTCTCCTCGCAGTACAAGAACGCCCTGCCCCCCTCCCTGCGGGATCTATCCACCCTCGCGGACCTCGCCCCCGCCTTCGAGCAACTCGCTGACGTCACCCGGTCCGGCCAAGTACGTCAGCAGCGGGACGAGCTGATGCGGGCGCTGGACGAGGGCAAGGGCTTCCGGTTCACGGACGAGGAGGTCAACTTCAAGGGGGCCGAGCGAGCAATCAAGAAGGTGGGGAACTTCTGTCTTATTTACAACTGTAAATTGACCCGTTGGTTTTCGGGAGTAGGATGGATGGCAAGTTCGTAGGGTTTCTAAACATAGTGTCTGAGCCGTCGAGGAGGTAACGGGTCGCTGAGACGCCGTGGAACCAGCGCTCGAAGCCGTTCTGGGTCGGGCAGTGTGAAAGTTTTCCGCGCCGTCCAAATTGCCCGACTCGCGGGAGGGACTCGTGACACAAGATTTAGCACGAAGGCAAGCGGTTGGCAATATCTGCCAAGGGTTTCAGAGAGCTGAAGACGGGGTATAGCTTGAGCGTTCTATCTTGCGGAGAGCCCCACAGTCTCCGTTGTGACTTTTCTTTGATGCTCCAGAAAGGCTGTACCATGTGTTTGGCGACGCCAGAGCAGTTGTTACGTGTGTTTTCTTATGTGGCCGAACTACTCGGGCTATTGTCGTCAGTGGGGTGGACTCATAAGCTGCCCGAGACACAAGATCTACCTTTTGGTTGCGCGAACGCTTATACATCTCTTTAAAGGGTTCCCAGTCTGATAATCAGTTATTGTTACCTTGCTTCCACTTTCTTTCTTTTAGATAGACATAAACGAGGGGATGCTCAAAGATATTTCGCTTCCGCAGGTGCTGCATGTTCTGGGACACTTGGCGACCATCTGGCGCCCCGTCCTCAGCCGCGGCATCTTCCACGACATGATGACGTCACTGGCGGAGGCGTGCGTGGCACGTGTCGCCTCGGAGGTGCTCCAGCTGGACGATATCGCCGTCGAGGAGACCACCCAGGTGCGGCCCGCTGCTCGGTTTCATTGGGTAACTCATTGACGTCGATTCCCGCTTTCTACCAGTCCCGCCGTTGTCAGTTCTCTCCCCTTCTCTCGAGCTTGTGAGTGTGACAAAACAGGTGAGGAAATGTGCTCTTGACTGATCAGGTTGCGGGGGGTTTCAACTTCTGCGGGTCTGGGAAGTTGCTTCCATTCTGTATGTTGCCTTCCGGCCTGTATCGGAGATTTCATTCTTCCGGTATATTTCTTCGGGAACAAGAGGAGGGCGGTGCGATGCGCCGGCGTTTGATGCCCGGTCGTGACTAACGCCTTGGGCGGTCAAGAGAGAAGAAGCCTCTACTTTGGTCGAGAGAAGTAGTTCATAGATTCTTTGCACGAGATTGGCGGATCATGCTACGAACGTGGGAGTACAGACTACGTCTCCGCTTGTGTTCTTCAGTAAGCAACCCACTGAAGCGCTGTCGCGTCTCCCGCAAGATATACGACTTCCCTCAAAGGCAGGCTTTCAAAGAAGCCTGACAAGTAACGTGCCATTGCGCAGTTGCGCCACCTCCTTCGGACGCTCCTGGAGGGCCTTCCGGACGTCCTCACGAGTCCGCCTGCTGGTTCCGGAGCGGAAACGATTGGAAGAGCGGAAACGGCGTCACGGCTTGTGCCAACGGGGCCAAAGCTGCTGCGGCTGATCGGTAAGTCACCAGCTTTGGCCTGCGGGTTCTTGTCCGGCTCACGCTAAAAAGAAGGCGAATCTTCCGACCGAGATCACGACGTAAACTGGACCCGGTGTTTGATCTGCGATATCTGCACTTGTTCAGCAAAATAGCGTCTTCAAATTGCTAATAGGTCGCGTTACAGTAATTCCATTCGCCGCCGGGTCCAACATTTTGCTCTTGCGCAAAGACACTCTGTTGTGATTTCGCTGTTTGTCCACTAGACTCTCAGCATGAAGTCCAAAACCGCATGGGACGGCAAATTTTCGGTTCCCGTGTTTCGACTTTCTGCCGCCGTTGCGACTTCGTGAACCGCCGATGATGCTTGAAAGACGTGGTCTGCTTTTCCTCGTGCATTGATGCCAAAGCGAGGAGGCTCTTCGGGGAAGGCACAAGTCCAAAGCTGTGCTCCTGCTGCCTACTGAGATTGACACGGCGATGCCTCAAGTTTTGCGTGTTTTACCGCGTGCAGAGGCAAAGTCGCCTTGCTTCTTTCTTGAAGGCTTTCTCTTCTGTCGCTCAGCGTGCAGTTGCCTACTTCGCTCCCTCGGTGTCAGCGTTCCGACACCGAAGTCAAACACGCTCGCATGTTTGTTCTGAAGCGCTCTTCCTTCTGCTGTCAGATTTCCTGGACATGTCGTTGCGGGACATCAACGCAGCGTGGGAGTCCGGCAACTTGCCGGCGTGCGGCTTTCGTGCACCGGAGGTGAGCGTCTGTCATCGGAAAAGATCTATGGGACATCCGGTCAAATCTGAAAATGACCCGAAGGCCGAAAGTTTCAAGATGAACTCAACCTAATCCCGACAAATTGCAATTGCTTCATGTTTGTCGTCCCAGGTTTGCGAGTGCGTTTACTGTACACCTACTCAAAGAACACTGCAGCGTACTCAAATCTCAATCAAACTTCGAGGCTGACCGTCCCGCTTAAATGCTTTTTCCTTTGCGGGAAAACGCTGGATCGTCTATGCAAGATTTTTCCCCTTCGTGCGACCTGAGAGCAGCGTGCAGAGGTCTGCACGCTGCTCTTCGCCACTGCTTGTACGGCGTCAACCTTTCGGTTGAGGCTCACTGACCTAAACCAATGCATGTGCAGGTGCAACGTCTGATACGAGCCATCTTCTCAGACACGCCGCTGCAAAGAGAAGTTCTTGCCCGAATGGATGCAAGCAAACAATCTGACCACTAACGCTCGCTGATGTACAGTCGTCTTTGGTGACTCGCATGTTTTGAGTACAAGGTACGGATATCAATCTTTGGTTCCTCTAGTATCAGCTTGCGAAACTTGTTATTTCCGTTCGACAGGAAGAGGAAACATGCATGCATTATTATGTTGTGATGCCACGTCACGGTGTGGCTCAGTTCTTGCGACCACCACTCGTCGCGTTGGCAACAGACAGGAAAGTCCAATCATGCAGCGTATGCTCATGACCGACTATAAGCCCCGATCTCGATTGACTGGCATAGGAGTCCTACATAGGTCTGTCCTTCGATTCTGACCTGATCCGCCGACTTTTCGTTTAACTCTGCGCATTGACTGCTTCTTAGAATAATGAGTCTGGCACGCGAGACCTGAGTGCACCTGCATGGCCGCTTGTACGATCGCATAGATGCCTTCAGATTGCTGATGTAGATCAACACGATATGCAAATCCAATGGTGATGATCCTTCAAAGCTACTGCAGGAGTACACATCAGGCGATATATGAAATCTATCTGGGGCGCGCGCGCGCGCGCTGATATCTTTACCTTATTCGAGCACACAGCAGCTCGTATTTACGTATTCACAGAAACAATTTGTTGACATTCAGCCTGATGTTTTTTCCATGCAAAGCTTCGAGTTTCCCGACGGTTGGAGCGCTTGAACAACACACAAGGACGGCGGATCATCCGAGCCAGATTGATAACCATTTCTGCCATGCATGGTCTGCTGTGCAGACCATGTATACAGCCATGGCGCATGGCACGAATTGAATAGGAATGTTATGTGTATCCTAAGCTCCATGTCCGACAAAAGCAAATCAGAGAGGGCCGCCGATCATTCAATATCATGACTTCGTCGAGATTGGACACAAGTACGCATGTTCTGCAGACCGGAAAGATCGAATGCAGGCTGGAAATCAAACGACCGAGTGGGCGCTTAGGCCCGTAAGTTTCATGCAACTCAGCAGATATGAGCATGCCAGAGCACTAGTTTATGTACTGATGTAACCGATGCAGACATTCAAGTCGGAACGGATCTAAGCAAGCCAGGCGTGGCTACACAATCTCTTCTTCGAATCAAGGGCAGTACTTCATGATCGTGACGACAACTTGGCAGTCAAAGATACAACAATTTAACGAAGCCTTGACGCACGTACTGGAAAGCGTACTCAGGGCAGAACAGTCAGATACCATCAGACCACAGCCTGTGGTTCGTCAATCTTGTTTCCTTCGCTCTGCTTGCATCTGCCAATTTTCAAGACACCGACTCGGTAAGATCGCCTTCAAGGGTCCGCAATCAACTCTCTTTTTCTTCTACCTCAGCGTTTCCCACAGTCAACATTCATCCCCTCAACGTTACCTGAATATCTTTACAGCCTCATTAGTAGAGGACCTAAGGACATGCCCCAGATACCGTAGGCAACAAGCGGGACCATAGAACCTCACCCACGGGTTCAACAAAGACGTCCTTGAAAGGTTTTCTGTACTCCACGTGCTTCTTGCTCCCCTGCCACATGCCTGCTCCCTCGCTCAGGATGAGAACGTCTCCGTGCACGTCATGAAGATCATCGACGTTGCGATGCTGGCTCCCCTCCTCAAAGCGGCTTTGAGTCGGCCACACCCAATCTATCTCGTCTATCGCTGTGAAAGACATTGATGAAAGACTTTCTTCTTCGTTCGCTCCTCGCCTTTTTGGAGTAGGTTTCGTCCTGACGATCTTCCTGATGCAACGAGCGAAGTCCGGGCCTGTGTACGCCAAGGAAGAGATGCAGATTGCGTTGGGAACGCCAGAAGAGGCCGTCACAGCAGAATAATATACTTTCTCCCGGGGCTGTGGCTCCCCATCTGTCGGTATGAAAGAGGCTGACTCCCAGGGCTGGTCAAGCTCCCCTTCCGCCAAGGAATGAAACCAAACTTCCTTCCGGTCGTGGATGAAGATTACAGCATCTTCAGTTGCAGCACAGAGCACGTCCGCCAGTTTTCTTCCCCGATAAAAGCGAACCATCCTCCAGAATCTGGATGGGGGTGGATCAGAGTATGGGGGCCATAAGAAGTTAGGCAGGTTGAAATTGAATGGCCTCCACGTATCTGTCAGGGTGTCGTACAGATTTGCGTGCGCAGATGCAATCATTGCGTACCAGCCGGGACGAGTCGTATGTGAGGAATCGACCCGCGGGATGGCGAAGTGCATGACAAAGATGTAGCGCTGGGATGCGACCACGGAGAAGCTTGTTTGCGCTGCGCATTCATGTTCCCCCATGATAAAGCCCTCTGCTGAGGGTGATAAAGGGGCCTCTTCCTCTGTGAACTGCAGAGAGCTCTTCTCCTTCCAGCACCCCTTTTGACTGCTCAGGTCAAAAGACCTCAGGCGAAACCTTCGCACCCTTGCATACACATCGCTAGGGGCGCGCTTTGGTTCGCTCAGAACGTACACCGCTTCATTGACCACTACAGTGCTCTCTGGTATGTCCACCCAAACCCCGCTTGACTGTGCTTCAGTCAGAACCTTCCCATAACTGCCTGGTTAGAAAAGGATGGATATGAAGTACAGTCCTATCTTCGTTCAGGATCCCAAGTCCAGGGTAAGTATTCTGCCACTCATCTGCAGGTTTGTCCCTGCCGGGCTTGCCGTCAACAACACGGCAAGCAAACTTAAGCAAGCCTGGTCGGAGAAAACGGCCGGCTTCTCCCAGGTGTCCTTCCTCCACCGCCTGCTTCCAGGTCTTTGAGACCTGCCTCAGGTGCCAAAGCTCCTTGAGGTCTAGATCAAGGCCGGATGTAAGCTGACAGATCAGAATATTGACGTCAAGTGGTAGCTCTTTGAAGAGGCCCGCCATTCTTTTCAAACTGCTACCAGAGTTCAGCGCTGAAAAAGTAGGGGAACATCGAGAGATCACAGGTCGGCGGCTTGACGCGGCCGTCGCTTGAAAGACAGAGTTTGGTGATGAAGCGACGGTCGGCGCGCGCGTGACAGCAGCGCAATCACCGCGGCCGCGGTCCTTTTTCATACGCGCTTCTTACGTGCGGTCAGATACGCTTATCATCATAAGGCGTTCTTCTTAAGTCTTGGACCTAGTATTCTATCTGAGAGCAGCTTGAAAGTAGCGAGCAGCAGCATGTGCGCTTAGGCTCGTTGTTGCTAGACAGCCTGCCATACGTTAAATTTTTTCCTGTGAGCGTTAAAGTAGCGACGTTACGGCCTCCGAGCTTTCGCCCGATTCTGCAAGACGCCTAATGTCAGCATCATCTCAATCACAACGGGGCGCCGCATCTGGCGTTTTATACCTAGTGGAGAGAAATAAGACCTCGTCTCGTCGAAGATGCATTAACCTATTGACTAGATTTATGTAGTTGCTTCGTTCACATGCATCCTGGCCAATTTTTCCAGGGTCTCCAGGCGGCGGATGGCGCGCGCATCATTCGTAAAATCTGGGATTGCTAGACCTCGGATTGGATAATCGACGGTAAATCCAATTCCGCTAAGATTGGAGCAAGGAGCGAGAAGATTCTGTAACATCTGCGAACGGTTCGACATACAGCTTTGCTGCATCCAGCTTGGAACAGGACTGTTTTCAGATCGTACATGAGTTGGTTTGCACCGTACGTCCATGATAACAAAGGTCACACTCTACTATAAAAATTCTGATCTAAAACATCTAAGAAGACACAGCACAACATCATTCCCCTCTCACGAGCGGCCACAGGATCGCGCGAAGGAATGTCTTTCTCATCTTGACCGCATCGTCTCTATCATTCTCTATCATTCTCTTCGAATCCGCGTCAGGTGGCCCACCGACTCATTGACCCAGAAAGGCCGACTTTCAATTACGCCTGTAACATTAGAAGCATGTAATTTTTGCACCACTTCAGCAACAGGACTGCTTTAGTGGTGCAAGGGGGCTGATTGGATCCGACAGTCATTATGCAACTTCCGCTACTAGCATCGTTCTCAAAAAACCTCGTCCCTAAGTGCAACCAATATTTGTCTAAGCTTATGTGACTGCCTTCACAAGATTTAGTCGACCACGATCAGCTTTTGATATTCCGGCCCCGCAACTGCCTTGTGCACAATCATCATCGGATCAATCTCCCCATCATTGTCCAGAAACAGCTTCAAGATGTTCTTTGAAAAGCCTGACACCATGGCGACCCCCTTCTGCGTCGCCACAACGGGAACGCTTCCGGAATCCCGCAGGTTCCAAAACACGATTTCGGGGGGGGCGCCGTACCCCCCCTCCGCAAACTTGCGCTCGAGTTCCATGTAGTCCGTCTGGTACGGCCGCGAGCACGCCTCATCAAACTCCATGTCGCTGAACACGTACAGCCGGCGCACCATCGACTCGGGGGGGAGATGTGTCGCCTTGGCGAGCGCCAGCATGTTGTCGAAGATCTTCTGGAAGTCCGTGTTATCCCCCCACTCCATTTTCTCAACGAAGCTGTATTTTTGTTTTAGCGTTCCCGGGGGGATCTCGTGCATCTGCGGGTTCTCGCTGAACGTGATCAGCTCGCCCCCCCACGGCGCGTCCGCCATTTCGGAGACCAGCAGCCCGAGCGCGATCGCCACCTGCATCGGCGTCCCGTCCATCGACCCGCTGACGTCACACCCCGCCATGCAGTTCGTCAGGCTGCCCTTCTGCTTCAGATCGCTCACGATGCGCGCCCACTGCTGCTCGGCAACCCTTCCCGCACCCCCCTCGCCAGTCACCGCTTCTTGCAGAACCTCGTGCGGCAGAACTGCCCCCGCCGCGATCTTCGCTTTTCCCGCCTCGACGTCAGCCAGAAACGCCTCGAAGCGCTCCTTGTCGTGCTTCAGGAACAGCTCCTGGTTCATCTTCATGCACACGCTTGGCACGCGCGCGTACTTCAGCTCGTGCCACCTGCGCGCGCACATGTACACCTCGGGCACCTCCAGCGCCGCGCGCAGCGGCGTCAGCACCTCGCGCCGCAGCTTGTCGCGCGCGCGGCTGACGTACTCCGCCTCGGAGAGCGCCCCCTCCCCGGGCGCGCGCGGGAACATCCGCCGCGCGATCGCCTCGCAGAGGAGCGTCGCGCGGTCGTAGCTCTTGTCCAAGCTCGGCGCCCACTTCCCCGCCAGGCTGACGTCATACGTGCGCCCCGCGCGCAGGCTCGCCACGTCGCGCGCGAGCTGCTCCGCGAACACGCCCGCCACCGCGTCGTGCAGCGCGCGGTAGCTCCCGTTGTACGCGTACGCGCGCACCGCGCGCGCCGCGAGCTCGTACTCGCGCTCCTTGCGCTCCGCGCGCGCCTTCTCGCTCTTCGCGCGGTCCTTCTCTAGTTGCAGCGCAACCCGCTCCTCTCGCGGCCGCAGCGTTCCCTGCCGTTTCGCGATCCGAGCAGCCTCCCCCTTTTTGTAGCGTTCGCTGACGATCACAGGCCGCCCCCCCAAAAAGCGCCTGAATCCGCCCCCGCCCCGGCCGCGCGCGCCTCTTTGAAAAGTAAAGATCCCCGCCTCCTTAAGTTCCTGGATGCTCTTCTTTTCTTCCGCACGCGCTTTGCCCGCTCGAACGGCCGCGTCGTGGCGCTTCTTCTCCTGCGCGCGCTTGGCCGTCCCCTCGGGACCCTCCAGGACTCTGAGAGCAAAAAGGACGACTAATAAGCATCATATCAAAATGTTTCTCGTCGACGATGTTGGGTTCGGAGTGGTGTGGAACACGGGAGTTAAGGCAGAAAAGAAGGCCAGGTATTGGATGGAAGCATGATGGCTTAGCCGCCTTGATGGACCTTGCACGATACACAGAACAAGAGCGGCAGCAGTAGCAAAGCCAGGATCAATGAAAAGAAGGATACTAACGTCGTATCAGATAACGAGTTTCTTCGCCATCGCAAGAGGTTGCTTTGGACTCCAAGAAAGCGGAGTCGAGAATACATCCTGCAATGTCTAGTATAACGGGGAACTGATTCAAAAGCTCAGATATCTGGAAGCTGAACATTATATGATAGTTCTCAAAAGCTCACAGTCCTTCAAAGCTCAGTAAGAGCAACCAGGAACGGAAACCCCTTAGAAAGCGAAAGCCACAAGTTCCAGACTTTCAATTCATCACAATTGGAAAACAGCCTTTGTGATAGGACCATGGCTTTCACGAGCGCATGCTCTTAATTAGCAGGCCAGAGCATCTGCTAATTAGAACTTGACAGGCAGATTTTTGAAGAAGGGCTTAAAATCCTTTGCGTGTCGACTTCGTTTCCGTTGAAGAAAGAACACAGCTTTCTTTATTGCTTGACTGACAGATATTGGAATTGAAAGCTTATCTCTTTCAGATCCGAGCCTGCCTATAACTTCCTCTACATGAAAATGATGAGCGACAGTCTCACCTCGAGCGAACGGAGGTCAGATGTTCTCTGCCCAGGCTACTTTTACCGTTGACAATCAGAAAGTTTTGAACAAAAGGTGCTTCCTGTCTCGAAAACAGGAGATTCAAAAGGATGCAAAGAGGCCACCAACTTGAGCACGATTTCGAGCAGGTCCTTGTAGTACCCAAACACGCCGACCTGCTTCAGGTTGGTCAGCAGTGTCCCTGGGTGCTTCTCCGCCAGCCACGTCACTCCAGTATAGAACCCCCCCTTTTCAGATTTCCCAGTCCCTCTGACCCCCCTGAGATGGAAAAGCAGCTTCAGCGCTAGCAGGGAGTCTTCCTTCCACGCTGCCTCCAGCAGCCGGCGCAATCTGTCCGGGGGGGTGCTTGCCACGACCTGGAAAAAGAAGTCCAAGCAGGGGCTGCTGGATTCTTTGTACGTCCAGGAGCTGTTTTCTGTGAGCGTCATGGGGGGGAGCTGGTAGCCTGTCTGGAGAGCCCCCCCTGCGAGCATGCTCAGGAAGGGGTTGGTGCCGGACCCCCCTTCAGCGGAATTAGCGGCGTTGCTGACGTCCATCTGACGCTGCTGCCATTCTGCCAAGTCCCTAGGGCCAGAGAGGGTTGAAGAAGTGGGGGAGTCGGCGATGGGAAGGCTGCCTTTGATCACCATAATTGCAGACGATTGCTGACTGGTCTCTTGCGACCTTGCAACAGTGCTGAAGAGATGTTGCAGCAAAGGTCCTGCAAAGCAGACTGGTTGCTGATGAGCGGCACTGATCAGGTGTGCAGAGTTGCGAATGCTCTTTTGCATTTGACGAACCCCTTTGTGAGATAGTCGAAGGGCCAGCATCTTGGACAAACATGCTCTTTGGGCTCGTATCCAGTAGCGCAATGAACTTGAATGTGCCCTGTAAAGCTGATTCACCTGAGGGCGTCACGGGCCAGTTGCGTAGCCCCATGCACTGAGGCTTGGATCGGGCGCAGCGTCGTGGGTGGCGGCTTCTTTGCGGTTGCGGCGCGGCCGCCAGGGTTTGTCGTATGCGGGTAAGCTTGCGTACGTGTCGGACGAGCAGGGGGGCGTCCGCTCGCGGCAAAAATTTGTGAAAATTGCGTCCGCAGAGCGGCCCAGCCGGAACCGTCCACCACCATTGCGCTAACGTGCCAGTTGTACCAAACCGCAGGCCTTTCAAAGTGGACGCCATTGCTATTCTGACGCCAGAACGCCATCAGAACCCTTCCTGATTGAGCTGGCTCAAGCTCAGAAGGGCCCGACATGACCACTGGCCAGAGCTTGTCAAGCTGAAAGCGAAAGCTGTTGGCAGGTGCGATGGATGTGCGGGGGCGTTCACTTGTGCTCCTGGCAGCTTTTGCAGCTTTTGTGCATACCGGGTGCACGGGAAATGCAGTTTCAGGAGAGTATCTCGTTGGGGTTGGTTCGTACGATGTCACAGGGCCTGCTGCTCACGTCAACATGATGGGGTGAGCTCCTGTCAGCTCCTTAGGCTCAATGCACTTCTTTGTGTGGTACGCATTTGTTGTCCAGTAAAAACGTTGGAAGTCACCATGTGCAATAAAAGGTGCTGCTTTTGGTTGACTTTTTGCAATTGGGGACTGTTGTGCATTCAGATTCTGAAATGTTTCGGAATAAACACCGTCCCTCAGCCTTCTGTTGAGTTAGGAACTGTGACTTTTCGTCTTTGTTATTGGTCAGAGTCTGTGGCGCAAGCTAAGCCAGGATCTGCAAGGATGTGGATAAGGTACTCTGCTGTAACTTTGAGGTGTCCAGAAAAGTAATTTTGTACTCTTTTATTTGAAAGCCACACTACTTATTTACGAGGGTGGTGGTTCCTTCCAGTGTGCCAGTAATAACATGGTCAATCACTGATTCCAAAGATTTCAATTGTCAAAGTTGTTTCCTCATACAGCACTTCTGGTGTGAGCCTGGTTTGGTTGCCATCGGTTGCAGTCTGCTGTGTTTTCAGCGTCTGTTCGTTGCTTCATTCTAGTTGAAGCTGCCTCAGACTTGAGCCTCAAAATTTCACGAAAGAACACTTCTTCGTCGCTTCTTCATTTCTGGCACTTGTCCCCTGCTTTTTCAATCGCCAGCTGAAAGAGACTTCTGAAAGCTTTTCTCCTGAGGCACCTTGCAAGTGCGTTCACTAGTCAATATACATCAGGAGGTAGCTGAAACCCCCTGCAGGCTGGTAGGCTTCTTCAAGTATATCTTGATCATTCATCTTTCCTAGTCCCCGCTTATCGTAAATTTGATTCAAAGTAGACTCCCCGGTCAATTTGCTGCCCCTAGGACATTCATTTTACCCCGGTTGACACTAACCGAAGCCAATCTTTCAGACCCTGATCAATGACCCCCAGCTAACTAAATATTCAAACCACCCGTGGCACTTTTTCCAGGCCCCAGAAGAATCCAGCAGCGCTACTCACATCCGAGTTATCTTCTAACTCGGGCTAACCCCCACCCCCAGGTATGCTCACCCCGCCCAGACCGCGGCGGGTGTCCACCTACGGTTGCACTCCCGTGCGTTCATCATTGGGGAGACGGAAGGCGGTCCCCGGGTGGTCTTTGTCAGCGTGGACGCGTGCATGGCCTCCCAGGCAGTCACGCACGAGGTCCTGCAGAGGCTGCAGAACAGGTGCGTGGCACGTTCGTCAGCTCTGCCGCTTGAGAAGTGTGAGCGTAAGACCAATCTGGCGGTACCATCGAAATGGTGTTCAGCGTTTGGAGTATTGAGAACCTTCGCAGCAAACGTTTTCAAGCGGTCTACAGCTAGCGGCATGATCAACCCTCTGGGGGAGAGTTTTGCTACTACATATTGCTGCGGCCCTTTATTCAAGCAATACAAAGTGAAGGGGAAACCCGCCTTTCTGGCAGCTCACTAATTTCATGTCGTTCCGGGCAGAATGTTTTCCAGTCTATGTAAGGGGCCTTTAACACGTGTTTGAGTTCTAAAATCCGACCTGTGGTAAGTAGGCTAGCGATGTAGATGGTCAGAAGAGGATAAACAAGGAGTATGATAGTCCCAGTGGCCCTTGCGCACAGAATTCAATCCTCGCTTTTTGCCAGGTACGGCGATCTCTACACAGAGCAGAATGTGGTCATTAGCGGCATTCACACGCACTCCGGCCCCGGGGGCTACCTTCAGTATGTGACGTATGCCATCACGAGTCTTGGGTTCGTACGCCAGTCGTTTGACGCGCTGGTCGATGGGATTGAGCGGAGCATCGTCCAGGCGCACGAGAGCCTCCGACCGGGGAGCGTGTATCTCAATGAAGGTGAAGGGCTGTACCTGCGCTTGTTTTAGCGGGTTTTGAATTCCTCCCGGTTTTGTTTGTCAGTCTCTGTGTGAGTCTGTTTACGGATACAAAGGTGGAGGAGTTCCTTGACTTTCGTCTTTGGAAGGTCTGCACTCTGCGCAATCGTCAACCGCGGGGCTTTCCTGCGGTTTTCATACCCTTTAACGTGGTAACCGGAACTGAGGACCTGGTAACCTTAACCTAACGGCTAAACCCTGCCACGTGGCCCCCTCAGGCGAGCTCCTGGACGCCAACATCAACCGCAGCCCCAACGCATACGCCAGCAACCCTCCGGAGGAGCGCGCCCGCTACGCACATGATACTGACAAAGAGATGGTTCTGCTGCGGCTGGAAAATTCCAATGGAGACGAGCGTGGCGCGATTAGCTGGTTCGCGGTTCACTGCACTTCGATGAACAACACGAACCGGCTGATAAGCGGAGATAACAAGGGAGTCGCTTCGCGGTTGATAGAGGACTGGAAGAATGGGCGTCGAACGGGGAGCGGCGGAAGGGTGGGGGATTTGGTTTCGACGACGACAAGCGAGACGGAGAGCAGCCGTCGGATGGAGGGGAGTGTGGACAGCAGGGGCAAGGCTTCGATTTCGGAACTCCGAGAGGAGCTGGCGAAGACGGAAAAGAAGCACTTGACCGGGGACTTGGGATCTGCGGGCGGCTCATCGCATCGGCGGCGCCTGGCAAGAGTGCAATGTGACGGCGGGGCGTGTGCGGTCAACCCGGGGTTTGTGGCGGCCTTTGCGCAGAGCAACGTGGGGGACACGTCGCCGAACGTGCTGGGCGCGTTCTGCATCGACACAGGGGAGCCTTGCGCTGCCAACACGAGGTGCGTTCGCTCATTCTTTCCGTTCCAGCGGAAGGCAAGGAAGGATTTACCAGAGGCCGTTTCTTGCCTGGGACAGATTGGACTCTTTTGATCTGGACACGTGAAAGTGGAAAAAGAGGCTCGGTGATGTGCGCCGTCAGCACGTATAAGTACTTATTTCCCCAGAAGTGAAATGGTTACTGCGATAGAGAGCTTTTGAAGGTTGCTAGTGCGCCTCTGTATCGTCACCCTACTGGAGTCTGCCTGAATTTTGAGTTTTTGAAAAGTCCCAGAAGATTTATGTGAAGGGGTTCGCTCAGGGCCACCTCCAATGGCCTCCACAAGCAACAAACTTCGGTTTCTAGATACCTGTCCTTTTAACATGCTTTGGGCCGGGCCCTTCCTAATTCCTTGATGCGAGTTTGGGACAGACGCTCATTTTGTGTTCTTTGAAAAGCGGTTCCAGATATTACGTCGTTGCAAAAGCTCAGACATTCATCTATACAACTTTCTTGTTTGATTGGTCGTTTGTTTTTTGTTCGCCTCTGTACTCACTCACTAACTTTATGAAGATATACATGGTTCGCGCTTCCCAGTGTGTCCCTAGCATGACCACCCCGGGTGTTTGCAGCACTTGCGGCGGGCGCAACGAGCTTTGCCACGGCCGGGGCCCCGGGTGGCCGGACGACTCCGTCAGCAACTATGTCATCGGGGAGCGTCAGTTCCTTAAAGCGCGCGCGCTCTACGAGGCGGCCAAAACGGCGGGGCGGCGGCTGGAAGGCCCTGTAGATTCGCGGCACGCGTTTATCGACATGGCGAACGTGAGCGTGGTTCTTGAAGACGGGGCCTCGGCCAGGACGTGCAAGCCGGCGATGGGGTTCAGCTTTGCGGCGGGGACGACGGACGGGCCGGGGGCGTTCGACTTCACCCAGGGAGATGCGCATGTGAGGATTGGCTTGCTTAGCAGCAAATTTCGGCGCAATGAATCACCTGGTGATTATCGTAGGAGACTGGAAATGGGGATTGATATTCACAGTCGCTTGACTGTTGAGCCCTTCTCAGTCATTCTTCGTCGACCAGGGACGAAGTTTGCATCCTGGATATCGCCCTTACAGTACATCTTCGGTCATCCAGTAAAACCATGCCAAAGACGTCCATCCACCAAAGCAGGGAAAGAGAGTGACCACACCTGGCAACTAACCTCCGTACAAGAAGCAGTGAGCACTTGTAGGAATCTGTTTGGGAATTGGCGAAGCCTGGTTGCCTGCAGCACTCCAACTTGAAAAGGAGAACGGCTTTTATAATGACTGCTCAGAAAGAGTGCTCTCCTGAGCTCTGTCCTGTCAAAATGTTAAAGCTTGCAGCACAATCGTCCTGCAGGGCAACCCGTTCTGGCGCCTTGTTTCGTCCTTTCTACACCGGCCGTCCCCCGAGCAAATCACCTGCCACCACCCGAAACCCATCCTGCTCGACACCGGGGAAATCAACGTGCCCTACCCCTGGGAGCCCTCGGTTGTCCCCATCTCCATACTGCGCGTGGGGCAGCTGTTCATCCTAGGAGTGCCCGGGGAATTCACAACCATGGCCGGGAGAAGATTGCGCGAGGCCGTGGAAAGAGTGTTAGCGGAGGCCCGGGCGTTTCCACCGGGCGGGAAAGTGGTGATCGCCGGGCTGGCGAACACGTACGCGTCGTACATTACCACGTTTGAGGAGTATCAGGTGCAGCGATATGAGGTGAGACTGGTGTACCTCCTTTGAAGACACGTCTCTCTTTCCGATTGGATCCTTTATTCGAATATATCCATTTGAGAACGACTCTTTGTGTGAGGGTGAGGCCCCTCTGACGATTGTCTGTCGGGTTCGGTCTGTGGAATAATTCTAATAATGCTCCTGAGAGTGGTCTCCTGTTTCGATTCCACGATCCTTCTCATGAAGTTTTGGATAGGGTTGGATCTAGTGTGACTTCTTTCGGCTGTAATCTTACGTATCGGGCAGCGGATTGCCAGCGGTGCAGCGGTCCTCACAATGGTCGTATTTAGCCTTTGATTTAAGAGTAGAAAAGGGTGGGACCCGAGAATTGAACAACAGGGGCAACAGCAGTCGACTTCAACTACTCATGAAAGATATTGCTATTTTGACGCCCTGCTAGGGTGAGCTGATACAGCATCTCAGGATCCTTAGCGGAAGCGTCAAATTTTGCGAGACTTAGTCCCGGCATCTGATTTCGTGCCTCTGCGCACCGCTTTCAAGTTCCTCTTGTTGCAGAAGATTCGACCTCTCGTTTGGCGGCAAACTCTGAGAATCAATTTCGCAAGTCTCCGATTCTGAGAGGCAAAGCTTTCGTTACTTACGGCAAGAAGCTGAAGCTGACCTCAGAATCCCGACCCTCTCGCAGGGCGCTTCGACGCTGTACGGGCCCCACACTCTGCGCGCGTACATCCAAGAGTTTTCCCGGCTGGCGAGGGCGCTCGCGCGCGGGGAAGCCGTCGACCGGGGGCCCGAGCCCCCCAACCTCCTGGCGCGGCAGCTCGGTTTCCTTCCCCCGGTTCTGGAGGACACGGTGCCGTTCGGGGTCCAGTTTGGGGAGCCGATCCTGGTCAGTAGTAAACAGAACTGTTCAGCTTGGACCTTCTTCGCATTGTATCGTTTTGGCAAAGGGCAGCGGAATGTTCACGATTTTGACTTAGGCTCGTGCCACCGCTTCACAGGAGGTGCTCAAAGTGTGTGCTAAAGGTATCAAGGTTAGTAACGCATTCCTCATCGACTAGTTTTCCGGTAGAATATGAAAACTGTGTTCCGTCGCCTCCAGAACAGACAGACCGGAATTCTCCGCAGATGCATATTAGCCTCGTCCTTTGAAGATTCATCAGAGTCTTGCTGCAGTAGCACGTAGATGGGGTCACGAATCCACTAGGGAGGCCATTGTTCTGCTTGCTCCGGGACTTTCGGCAATCACGGAAAGCCTCTTTTTGCCATGAATAACACGGCTGTCTTCTTTTGACGGGCAGACGAACAGTTTTCGAATAGCTTTTTTCAGAAAGTGCATGTTGCTCGATGCAAACGTTTGGTTTGAGTCGGAAGAAAACCTTCAGCTTAGATGGGCCAGACTCACGTCGAACAGTGTGAACACGTACGCTGCCAATCCCGCAGGACGTACCCAAAGAGAGCGTGTTCTCAACGAACCAGACTGTCTCGGCCACGTTCTGGACGGGCTGCCCTCGGAACGACCTGCGAACCAACGGCACATTCGCGCTGGTAGAGCGACACGTGGCAGTCTCTGACTCGTGGGGGCCAGCGTATGATGACGACGACTATTCCCTCAAGTATCACTGGCGGCGACCCAGTCCGCTCTTTCCCGGGCACAGCGTCGCAGAACTAGAATGGAAGATACCGCCCGGGGTAGAAGCCGGCGTGTACCGGTTACGACACTTTGGAGCAGCGAAGCCGTCGCTATTCTTCCCTGCGATCAAGCAGTTCTCGGGCGCATCAAGACCTTTTGTCGTTGTAAGCTGATCAACCCGTCCAAGTCAAAGGCTCGTCGGAATGTACATTAGGGAAGGGTGCCATGTCCTCTGGCCAAACAGTGTACATTACCTACAATGAAGGCTCTCAATGTGAGCTAGGTTCGAGCCCCGTTGAGGCTTGCTTGCAAGCTTGGCAAGGAGATGACTTGCACAATAGATTGTAAGTTCCAAGCAGCTGCCGCCTGGCATGCTAGGATTGTCTATATGCAGTGACCTCCTTCAATGCAACGGCCGATTTTGAGATTACCTATGTCGATACTGCCAAACTTGGCCTGAGCCCTCGCCAAGGCGCTGCAGCATCAGGCCATCATCGAGACATGATCACATATGTGTTGTATCGTGACATGTGGTTTATACATGCATGAATGATGCTTGGACTTGGTATGCGTTCCGCTGAGGCGTCCGGCGGGTCCATTACAAGAAGCGTGACACGTACACTAGCTAGAGAATCTAGCTCGAGCGCGCAACGCGTGCACAATATCCGGGGGCGGCGGCATGTGTGTATTCCAAATGATAGATTCAAAATTCATTGCTGCCGCTTACTTATCAAATGCTGAAAAGTGATGTTGGGCGCTGTGAAAGACGGTCTCACGCGCTCAAATGGGGATCAATGATGACGAGTTGGCTCTGGAATACTTAACTAGGATGACAGGATGTTTTCGCACGTCGTCGACACTTACTGAGCAGAAATGAGGATTACGTGCAGTCACGTCATTTATGCCATGGTAGTAGAATGGGGTTCGCGGACTCGGTCAGGTGGCCGCGGGCCGGACACTTCTTTCGCGTCCCAAGATGACCCGAGCTCGACCCCTTAACCTCGCACTCAAGCTGTTGTTTTCGGCGGATGGTTCGATGGTTACCACAGAGAACGAGAATTCGATATATCGTCAACTTCGCCACTTTTGCACCTACTGGATTGCAGACTTGCCGTGCATCATTTTGGATGCGAATCTAAGGTGCCCAAGAAAGGCACGATTCAACGTTTGGGGCTTCAGCGGCTCAGGCCGTCTGTAGACGTGCCGCCCCACGAATGTCCAATGTAAGAGGAACATTTACGGAAGACATTTAGACAGTCTTCAAAGGGGACCACGTACAAACCTCCAACCGTACGAGCCAGTGGAGCCTGCTGTATCTCGACAAGGTACCACGGGGCTTCCACAGGAGTTCACTCTGCATCAGAACGGAACCCTTCACTGTCAGCCTGCAGAACACTTTGCAAGAGCAGGGCTATTTTGCATATTGCATCAAAGCGTCATCTGGGCGTCATGGCGAGGAAGCAGGTTTATCCACGCGTGGGCTCACGATCGGTAAGGAGAGTCGAAGTGCAAACAACATGTAGACTTAAAAGTGCTGGTTTTGATAGGTCCAGAGCCTACGCCTTACGATGGGTTGAACGTACGCCTTCGGCAAAACTCTGAAAGGTCCGACAGCGCTTACGAACCGGCGTGACTCGGCCTCTGATGAACGTAGACAGTCCGCAACAGTCGAGATTTTCATGTCGAACATCAGCCTGATCGGGTTGTGCGCTTTTGGAAATTGCAAGCTCAGCTTACATCTTGGAAACGTGCCGTCGAGAATTTTTTGCCATGCAATTCGAGCATGCACTCTATAACACGGGCAAGCTTTTCCCTCAACCGACGACTTTCATCTTCTTACCGACGGAGCCTGGTTCAAAGGAAACCAAGAGGTCCAGATTTGATCGCCGTACCTTCCATATAACCGTACAGGTGCTTGCTGACGTCCTTCTCGTCCACGCACAGCCAGAAGCCAACCAGCGCATCCTGTACAAGCAGAGCGGGGTCAAGAGAAACACTCCGGAAACTGAAATTCAGAATTTTCGCGTAAATCTTATACTGGACGCGTTGAACTACGACCCGTATCACCCGGGTGCTTTTAAGATGATGCTCTCCGCACTCAAACCCACCCTAACCGCTAGACTAACCCCACCCGTCCCCAGGCGCCTGTCCTAGTGCACATGCCGATTTGCGAGACCAAGGAGACCGGGAGCGCTCTTTGAAGTGCTGACGTGGCGAGGTTCGAGTACGAGACCTTGTCTTGGCGTGTCGTCCGACCAATTGATGATCGAGAAGAGCCCCACCAAAGCCCCAAACTTTGCGGTTTCTTCCAACAGCATCCTCGGTCTCGGTTTCAGAATTCCTAGGTATTTCTTAGGTATATGTCGTCTAGAGAGTCAAAGTACACAAGTTGAGCTTAAGCTTTCAAAGAAGTTCAAGGCGGAGTCAAGGCGGCCAGAACACCTTTGGAGAAGACAGCGATATGCGAGTAGGTCTTGCTCTATGGACCCTGCTTCGAAGTATTTCTTGAGCCGAGAACGAACTTTACCGCCACGCGTGTGCAGCGATCTACTCTGTTGCGAGCATTTCACACCCACTCCAGGTGCTGCGAAATTCACATACAGTTCTCTCCGGAACAGACGTCGATTTTGACGCCCATGCGACGGCGACGTGCAACGAAGTGCAGTTCTGACCAGTAATTCTTGCACTCCAACAAGGATTCGGAGGGAGAGAGTCAGGTGCGGTTCGTCACCCATCGCACTGATTCTATTAAGTACAGCATTAACTACAACTATAGGTCAAACAAGCAAACTCGAATCAGTATACCCTCAGGTTAGCAGACAAACTCTTTCTGAGCATTACCGACCTGAAACTCCTCGAAGGACCACGTGCCGTTTCCGTTGAGGTCCATGGCGTTGAAGTTCTGCTCCACGTTCGTGAGGTCCCCCTTCTTGATGCTCAGGAAGTCGCCATACTCTCTGCGCATTAGATGAACGAAGTCAAGACACGGCATCGAGAATCTGACGAAGACAAGTCTTCGGTTTGGAAGGGCGCCGAGGGAGCTCAACCGGAAATGTACGTGAGAACAACTGGCCCTGGAACGCATTCGACACAGTAATCTGCCATTTGATTGTCATCGACAGCATGTATGCGTCCCTTGGTGTTTTTCGGTTATCGTCAATCGCTTGGGAACGCGCAGTGGTTACGGAAAGCGCCACTAACAAATAATTTCGACGGTCCATTTTTGCATCTCACAGAAAAGTCTCTGAACGAACTTTTGGTACAGTTAGGCGCTAGACTACAAGGGTGCAAGGCATGAGTTTGAAGTGTCAACTGATCATTAACCCCCTTGACCAACCTCTCAGCATCGAGGAGGACCATATCTACTTGTAAGTGATGACGCCGTTCCTGTCCCTATCAAGCGCTTCAAACATCAGCCTTGCAGGTATAGCAACGTTCAACCGACCCTCTCTAGTCTCAAACGCCTTGGCAAGAGCGTCGACATACTCCTCCCTGTTGAAGCCCTGTGGAAAAATCAACGTCCAGATAGTCAAAAAATTTCTGCACTCAAGCTACCATAATGATGAAATGTGTTGTGCAAAGCTCCGAGCAGGTTGACTCTCCGTAAGTCTTCAAAGCGAACCAGCTCAATCAGGCCCTCAACTTTTTGAGCCGGAGCGTACCATCACACCGTTCCTGATCCAACTTGCAGGTACAACCATCATGCTTAAATGAACCTAATTAAGAAGGATAAGAGAAGCTTAGAGATTTTCAACTGTGTATTGACCACGCTTGGCTAAGCACCAGCTTGAGATACCTTGCAATCAAATGTACGATGAATGCTACATCAAGCACCAGTGACCTTGCTCCAAATCAAACATAAGCCGAACCGACCAAGGACACGAGCTTCATCACCTCAAGCAGACCATAGTCTGCTTATGCCCTTAGCATGCGAGTACAGCCGAAGAATCAACATGCAACAAAGTGAGGTTTTCCTCACCTTTGGCGAATCTCCAAACCTAACTCTGTACACCTCGAGCCAGATGTCAAGGACATGTTTTGCCCTGCGCGAAAGGCACAGACGAAGCTCGAAATGCTAGGAGGGTCAGGATGTCTCAGACAGAAGCAGAGGACGAAAGGATGGTCAGCAACAGTTTCTGTTAAGCAAGAACCAGAGTGAACCAAGGAACAGAGTGAGTCTTTGCTAGGCTTTCCTTTATGCGATCGATCCGGAACAGACATTCAAGGACACCTCTTGTGACATGGCTCAGCCGATCTGCAAGGAAGGAGCGTTTCCAGTGAGTTCTGCCACAAAAACTTATATTTCAGATTAGCATTCTGGCCAGGGTCAGAGCTTTCCAGCTCAACCCGAAAGGCAAGACCCAGGAAATCAGCAGTGCTTGCCTTGCGCCTCCAGAAGTCGCTGTTGGCGAAATCAACTCCTTCTTTCTCCATAAGAGCCAAATGCTTGGGAACATAGTCTTTTTCCATGGTAGTTCCGGCACACAGGCACAGCTGTGAAGATGGACAGAATGCTGGGATGGCCCTCATTCGCCGAGCCGCCTGCAAAACATTATTGGCTGCTTGTGGGCGGCAGCTCTCTCCTCAACTCTTCAAGGTGAATAAAAGCATCAGTGCTGCAAGAGTCAGGCGCGCCAAGACAGCTCGCGTGCTCGCCTTGTGCTGAAAACACTCATCATCGCAGGATGGCGCACGAACAGGCTGTCTGCCACAAAGTCATTCTGATCCATCATCTTCACGTAATTTGCGGCGCTCAATCAAACGAATCATTGGCTCCGGCCCAAACAAGATTAGACTGCCTGCCCATTCAGCCTTTGATTCAGGGCCGGGCCCAGGGTCCGTTCAGTACCAACGTACCATAGTAGCACTGTAGCAGTACGGTATACCGGATGAGCCGTGGTAGTACAGGTACGGGTATACGGTATACGTACGCTGATCGCGCTCAATAATGCTTTCCTGTGTATGGTAATGACGGTATGTACCGCAACGTTTTCTGTCCATTATACTACGGTAGACAAAAGAAGGTTAGTACCGGAAAGTTGGTACCGGACCACTGGTGTGATCCCGCTGAATTAATTTCTCGGATGCACTCTGGGACGACTTCGAAAGGAGTACCTGGTACCTACCGTATGGCAGTACCGGTACGTACTATAGACTACCGTACCTGTGGGTACCTGACTCCTAGCTGCAGGTTGTGCCGCAATATAGGTAGCTTACATGAGCAGTGAGCACTACGTGAATGTGGTGCACGAGCATATTAGTACGTGCAGTGAATTTCTCGACATCATTTACCTCGATAATACATTCTACAATGGGCTTTATTGATCTTCGCTACTAGGTCCGCGCAGCATTGGTAGCTAGCTACTGGGCGTTCTCGATCCCCACATGCAAATTTGGACATCCCCAATAGTTTCCCGACTGCCGTTAGTTTGTTGATTTTTCCAAAGATCAACATACATTCATCCGTTACATGAAATTGATATTATCTGAAATTATAACGAATGTATGTGTGCCTGCGGCGGGGTAGAAGTCTGGCTGGCAAAGAAGACCGGCATAAAACGTTGAAAGCAGTACGAAATATACCGTACTTGAAATGTCGATTGGGCATCTACTAAGCAATGACACTCTCGACCATGCAAAGTAGCAAACTTGAAAGGCGGCATGACTACCTAGATCCAGCCGCTGCCATGATCATTGAGACCGCATATGAGAAGCCCTTTCCGTGAACTCATCGTGCAGTAAGCAAGCTTGGGGTCGTAGAGGCAGCACCTACTTCTTAGTTTTGCACGCTTGCTTGTGCGACTCTTTCCAGTGCCGACTTTGGCACTCCCTGCAAGCAACAAAGCCGGCGTCATTTTTTTTCACTGATGACTGCGATCCTGAGCCGCCATGAGCGTGAGGGCACTTCGGAGAACCGGCTTATGTGACGGTTTTCAGAACACTTGCGCTTTGCTGTGAGACCCCAATCTTGCTTTCTGGAAAATCACTTGTCTGGTCTAAAAGCAGCTAACTTTCCACGGGGAGCGCAAGACGGGGTTGTAAAGTCCTTGAAAGGGTCCGCCAATGCGGACTCAAAAGCATATGGTTGATCTACGAAACGTCGTGAACGGCTTTTCCGAGCCGAAGACGATGGCAATATCGGGCCGGAATCCGGAACCCAGCAGCGTACCAGCAGAACCGCACGTTTGCCTGGTTTGCGGACCTCGTCAAAACCACTAGATGTGTCAAAGCAGCGCTCGCTGCGTAAAGCACAATCTGAAATATCTACTTCTGAAAGTCTGACCGTGTCACGGTTTGTGCGCTTGCTGTGTTAACCCTTTCCTCGCCTCATCCCTTTTTCTACCGCCCTGGAAGCTTCCACTCAGACTGGTACCTCTTAGCGAGGCCCCGTCCTGACCGAGTGTGTTTGCTCACCTGCTGCAATAGCGCACGACTCTGCACCGGCCGCATCGATACAGGGCCTCCGGCCGGCCGCAGTCGGCGCAGAGCGACAACGCAACTTTGTCTGCCTTGGTGGAGATGGTTTCGGTGAGCGTGGGAGAAAAGATGTCTGCTCCCTGTACAATGAAAGCTTTGGTTCGGCGCACTGTGGCTACGAGGAGATAGTGGGTGAGTCTTCAAAGAAGCGGATGCTGCAGTGAGCAGCGTTTCGCTCTTCTTGCCATATGAAAGAAGCTGAAGAGCTAATCTAGAGAGCACTAAGTGAAGGTCTACGCCGGATGCCGAGGATTGAAGCAAACCGGGCGTCTATTTCTGTCGATAATTTAAGAAACTGACGCATGGCACAATCGTTGCACCCAAACTTTGGCAGAGCAATAAGCCAAGAAAAAGATCGGGTCTTCAGGATCCAGAATTTGACAATCTGGGTAAGTCAGAAAAAGCAAGAACCAGGAGATATAGACAACGGGACGAAAGAGCAGCGAAGGCGCGCGCCTCCCTGTGCCACTAAACGGATCTAGATTCAGCAAGCGAAACAGCGTACAAGCTTCAGCGTAGTGGGCGCACCTCACTCTCCTCGCGCGCCTCCCATGTCTCACCTTTGACCGGCTCGGGAACAAAAGAGCAGCAGAAAAGCGCCGCTCCATCATAGCATCAGACAAGCTTGTAATGACGTGTGAAGCAATATCTAGTGAGCCCACCTCTCTTTCCCCTTTCTTCTCCTTGCCGAGGCGAGGATCAAACAGCAGCAGAAGAGCGCCTCTCCGTCTTCCACACAAGACAGATCTCACGATGGCACTTCAGTAAACACTTGATTTCAGCATCAGACGCACCTCTCTTTCCACGCGCTTCTCGCCTTTCTTCTCCCTCGGTCGGGGCGGCCCGACGTCCTCCCAGTCAAACGGATGCATCGTGTGCGTGTACAACTTGGACCCGGACTGGGTGCTCCCCGGTGACGCCAGCGCGTGTTTCAACTCTCGCCGGCGTTCCGCAAGATCAAACTCGCGAAAGTCGAACGTTCTGGGCTTGCAGTTTGGGGCGTTGCTGCACTCCTCGAGCGCCGACTGGTACTGCCGACTCTGTTTGTTCTTCAGGATCTGGGGCGAAAAGAAGCGGGCGAAAAGAAGCGGATTAGGATGTTGTAGAGAAGGCGGAAAATAATGTATTGACAAGAGAGAGGTGAACGGTCTGGGCTTGACGTTTGGGGCGTTGCTGCACTCATCGAGCGCCGACTGATACCGCCGGCTCCGCTTGTTCTTGAGGATCTGTGGCGAAAAGAAGCGGATTAGGGAGCTGTAGAGAAGGCGGAGTAAATGTATCGACAAGCGAGAGGTGAACGGTCTGGGCTTGATGTTTGGGGCGTTCCTGCACTCGTCGAGCGCCGACCCGCATTGTCGGCTCCGCTTGTTCTTCAAGACCTGGGCGGGAAAGGTGGATTAGGAAGCTAGAGAGGAATCTTATTGTGGGCAAAAATAATGCATCAGCAGGCGGGAGTTGAACGAACTTGACTAGGGGGCGTTGCTGCACTCCTCGAGCGCGGACTGGCACTGCTCCGCTTGTTTTCAAGGTCTGAGTGTAACCGGGTTAGGAACTCGAGAAAAACCGCCGATCAGCGAGAAGCGAGGATCGGCGATGGGAAGACACATTCAGAGATGGACGTTTTTGCGCATTGCTCCGCTCCTCGAGTGCCGACTGATAACCTTCTCTTCTGCTTCTTGGGAGCCTGCAAGATTGTAGCCCAGACAAGAAAGTGGTTCTCGGCGGAGTTTACTAGGACAACCGAAGGGATAACCGGAAGATGGAATCGTGAGATCGGGACCATATCTTTTATTCTCTAGCAAGGTGCTGACTTTAGACCTGTCTGACACGTGTTACGAAGCCGCTGCGTTTAAAACGCTACTCCAATTCCCTGTGATACGTGCAGAAATTGCATCGCCCACAGTTGGACCCTCCAACAACTTCAGAATTGTTGCCTCCTCCATTCGAGTTTTGAGAGACTGCGAACGATTGACACCGCTTATCCGGGCTCAGACTGCACAATCACTCACGTTGATGGTTTCGTGGTACTCCCAGTTGCCCCGACCATTCTCCGGGGGACAACGGCCCGCCCCGTCAAGCAGCTTGCACGTGCCGGTCGATTCAGACACGCTGCATACGTCAAAGAATTGGATCAGTCAGCTCCTGCCACGTGGGGTTACGGAACCAAGGGCGCGTTTCGTGGGGTGCACAGCACTTCGAGAGTAAGTGAATCAGCCACATGGTCAAAAGATGAAGGCAGCTCACCTACTGGCGAAACCACAGCTCGGAACAAACAAAACCGAACGAAGAGTCACCCGTGAAGGGTGCACAACAATGTCCTCAACTCCGGTTCCAAGCCCGGTATATACTAGGCTGATTTGAAATCGAGGACCTAGGGCTTTTGGATTCGAGGATCCTAAAGACGTTTCTCCTAGTAATCTCCCAGCTCATAATTCTACGTCGAGATTGATTAGTCAAGGTCCGGAAGCAACTTTCGAGGGAGTGCAAGTCGTCCTCGCCGCCTCACCTTCTGATGTCCTCGACTTCCACCTCGTGGCGCCAGCCGTCACCCAAGTCGTACAGCCACCCCAGCCGGGCGCCCTTCTCCGTTAGCAAATCGCCCAGCTTATACTGCATAACATCGAAAATCGAGAGTCTGACACGATGCACTTTTCCAGGATCCTCTCATAAGCTCTACAATTTCGAAAATAAAAACAAAACAAACACTCGTATACGAGCCGGGAGTCTGTACTCTTCGTCTTGAATTATCGGCTTACTTCCCAACACACGCACTTTTTGACGTCCTCATATAGGGTAAATACGATCAAAGGGAACAACAGATTCAAAGAGAAGGGAACAAACAAGGGGCTTTTGTTGTTCGTTGTTCATCCACGTTCCACCCACCTCCTTATCGTCCATATAGTAGTAGTACGACCTTGCCAGGTGGCAAGTAATGTCGGAGCCTTTCGGCCCGAAGAGGCAGCCGTCTTTGTGGTCGATGAACACGTATCCGTGGAAGTTCCAGACCCAACCCATGATGGGCATCAACACCTTGTCCGCGAAGGTGTTCAGGACGATGCCACCGGACACTTTGAACCTGGTCATGTGAAAAACAGAACCAAAATTGGTGTTCAGTTCAGACTTGGTTATGAACCCAGCCCATGATGGGCGTCAACACCTTGCTTGCAAAGGAATTTCCATGATACTGCCGGACACTTCGTGAAACGTTCTGGTGAGCATGGG